TACCTGAGGTGGAGTCTTCTCTCAGGCTCACTCTTTTCCCGAATCTGCTGAAGGCTCAGGGGCATCATTCCCTGTGAGCTCAGCAATCACCTGCTGGGACTTCTGCTTTGCAGGGCAGTTCCTGGCAATGTGGCCTTTTTCCTTACAGTAGTAGCACTGAATATCCGGACGAGAGCTCAAGGCCTCCTTCACAGTAGGGGATTTTGTTGTAGAGATGCTGGGGGGTGTTTGACTGTTGGCGGTCCGCAGGGTGTTCTGCTTGAAGGTATTAGGCCCATTTCCCCGCGAGCTCTTTGATTTCTGGGTGGCATTGATTGTCTGGAGGGTGTGAGCTGCCTGCGCACAGATTTTCTGAAACTCAGCATATGTATCAGTGGTCGCATTGGCTACTGCTACCATCTTCTGGAGGTCAAAGGACAGCTTGTCATTGAAGTCTGTCTTGTAGTCCCCCCTGGCAATCTTGGCCTCACCTGCCAGGTGTAAGAATTTTGTGACAAATTCATGATAATTGTCCCCATTGCGCATAATCAGCTTGCGATAATCACTCTTGGCATTTTGCAGCTTGTTAGCATCCTCATATATTGACTTGAGGTGCTCAAATATCTCTTCTGCAGTCTGATATCGCTCGGGGTGGTCCTCTTCCATACGGGGCGCAATGTGACGTGCCGCGTCCCCATCAGTCCGGTTTTCGATGTATGCAATCCTCATGCGTTCAGTAGGGTAGTGGTCAGCGTTCTCCCGGAGCTTGTTCTTCATCCGGGAGAGCCAGTGTTCAAATTTTGGCTCCTTGCCGTCAGTGAGGTGTTTTGGGTCATCAATCTTGACAGACCTCCGGGTAGTCTCAGAGGGGGTGACACCTCGACTTGCTGCTTGGTTGCTGACTGTCATGCGGACCAGGGTGTGGCTAAGTTCATCGCGTTCAGCAATTAGCTCATCAATCTGGCTTTGCTTGACAGCGGCCTGGTCAGTGGCGTTGTTCCGTTCCATCCTCAGACGTGTGATTGTATCCCTTAGTGTTTTTTCATCGTCAAAGATGCCATCAAAGATCGCCGCCAACTCATTATAAACACGGTCGCTGTCTGAGTGGATTGCCTCTCTGAATTCCTCAATTGAGACGCGTGGTTGGTCAGTTGGTCTTGTTAGGAGGTATCGCCAGTCCTTTCGGCCCCTTCCAGGGGGTTGGGAGCCTGTGGTGGCCATCTGATGTTGGATTGAGCCGTTGTCTTCAACAGTGCTGTTGTCTTAGCAGTTGATCTGACGCGTTGTCAGGCTCTGAACTAGCAGGTTCTAATTCAACTGAGGCACTCAAGTTTTCTGCTGAAACCTGAGTGAGAAGGTAGAAGGGAAGCTTAGTATTGTGTTAGGGAGCGAATGCGAGCTGCATAAGAAGAAAGACTCTCTGCGTTGCTAACTGCTATATAACGAAATACTAAGCTTGATGGGATGAAAGGGGGTGCTGGGGGCCTGCGTGGATTATAACCACCTGCATGGTCGTGTGGTCACGTGATATGGATTAGGCCTAATCGGGCGCCGAGCTTAATCCGACGTCGAGTCTAACCGGGCACCGGCCTTCGGTCGGGCTCGGTCGGACGCTGAGCCTAACACTTTTCTTCCCTTTCCCAAGCAATTCGTCCTTGTTATATAGGAGGACTAGCCTCTAGTTCTTAGAGCTTAACCCTCTACAACTTCACTTTCTGAGACCTGACCCTCTACTTGCATTTTCTCAGTTGACATCTTCAGATATAGTCATAAAACTACATCATTAAATCAAAGCAGTAGATAAGATCATACAAGAGATGAAAAACACTTTGATACTTGATCTGATCTGATGATTGAATAAAATATTCAAGAGAAGTCTGATATAGATAGAATTGAATGCTCATTAAAAGAATGAGTTATCTGCTTATTATTTGATGAATAGATACTGAATTGTCAAAAACAACTACAGGCAGGTGCAGGTAGAGGAGGTCCTCACTATCAAGAATGTCAATCACAAGATCAAGCATTGTAAGAAAAAGAAATCAATAAAAGAGAGGAATAGAGCCCTATAGTCAGTTGAGATCAAAGTCTTTAAATCAAATGCCAGCTAATCACAATATGATGTTATTAATGAATCTCAATCTATCAGAGATTCTGCACACTCTAATGAGTATATAGATAATCTTTATATTATAGATAGGCATGGTGTTGACCATTAATTAATTTTTGAAGATTGGTTGATGATCCTAGAAGATTTTCATTGCAGTGATATTTTCTTTACGGTGGGGCGCACTCACTAATGGTGAGTGCGCGTGGCATGGTTAGCCAGTAACGTAATCCACCACCCAACGCCCGTTTACACCCAACGCCCGCCATTTCACCATCACTATGATGAAATATTTTCAATGTTATTTCAACAACACAATTAGATTTCAAGATGATATATTATATGATGAAAATATATATAAAAAATTACATATAAAAATATATAGCTAATTCTGTAGACATTTGTTTGACTTAATAACTCATCTGAAATGTGAAATTCTAGGTGGAGGCAAATTCAGTGAGCAAGCAGTTATTAAATCAGTAGAAATTATAATATTGTCAGATCACTCAGGCAGTGAATCTGCAGGCACTCTGACAGGGCTCTGAAAATGTGATTTAGTCACTCTTTGCAAAATTGAGAGTCTACTTTTCTGATTAGAAAGGTGATTTTTGAATTCTTCAATCATCTTCTTATTCAATTGTGATTATAGCTATATAGCAATTCATTCTTTCTTCTGTTTTTGCTCTTGAGTCTTTCTTGCATCTTTAAGCTCCTTCTCAATCTGTCATTAAGTGGCTCTTGCAGTCTTATCCATCTCCTTTTGCTTCTTTGCTATCTGATGAGCTATTTCCCACTTCATCTGCTGTGACATAATATTTGTCTTCTTCTGCTCCTTAAGAATAGCATGTTGCAACTTGGCATCCTCTTTATGAGTCTGTTCATCCTTTTTGATGGCCTCTGCAGCAGTCATTTGCTCATGAATGCTCTGTACCTTTGCTAGTGAAAAGAACTATACCAATGATAGATTTGAAGAATCTAGCAATTTCATTGCCTTACCACACTTGCAACATCTTTTCTTTTAATTAAAAGTTTACTGTAGTTGTCTGTTCTCTATTAGAAGAATCTTTTTATCAAGAGCAAGATTTTCCCCTGCACAAATCACCTGGTTAAGATTATTATATATTTGATATTGCTATTGCTTAACTTGCTTTATCAATTTCTACAGGTCAATGATAGAAGTAGGTGTTCTTAATTAATATATTTCATCTGAGAGGGTGCAAGATTGTATTTGAAGCTTTTTAAGAATGCATTTCAGATTGAATAGATATAGGCCAATAGCAGCAAATGCAGCTTCAATATTTGAAGATGTAACTATCTCCTTTCACACAGTATCAAAAAGCTGCCAAAAAGACCTCTTTGTAATATATATGAATTCCATTCCAGTTTTCATTCATTCATTCAGTTGTTTAGAATATGATTTACTCAATGATTCATATATACTAACATTTAATGACTGTAATCAGTGTGTAGAATGAGGAGGAAAGACAGTGAGTAGAATTCAATTCTAATCTGTGTAATTGATGAATATTATATTAATATAGAATGAGTGATCATTCAATATAAGAAGTCTATATCTGCAGCCTGTCTTCTTTTTTATAAGAGATTCAAAGATCTTCTTTAATCATATTAACTTATATTCATTATTGCTCCACTTATTTTCTGAAGCAGTAAAGTAGATCTGATTCTTTTCACTATCAAAATCTTCAAATCAAGTATCTTGCATATCTTTTGATTCTCTTTAATATATGAGAACAGGTGGGAGCAAAGTTCCATCTACACAAATTGAAGCAAGTAGTGTTATGAATTCTCAACTGCTATCCTGGCTGACATCTATCATATGATCTGATTTGAACAAATTAATCAATACAATATGTTTGAGGGTGTGAATGAATTCTAATAGAAATCTTTTCTCATCAAAGTTGTAAATATTCATAGGTTCAAGGTTGTATTTTATGATTTTTGTCTGCAGCTGAAAAATTAAAATAAATTAGCAAGATGAAAATTAAAAAAGTAGTATAAGAAAGAAATCTATTACAAGATCAAAATAATGCTTGAAGGATGCAGAATTGTCTGCAATCTTGTGTTTTTGATCAATATTTCACAGATAGAGTAACTTGATTATATCCTTGTGGCGCTTGTAGAACTGAGCTACCCAGTTGACTTCAATAAGTGCTTTTAGAATCTCAACCACAAGATTATGAAGCATTTGGAGTGTACAAGGGAAACTGCGATCTGCCAATCAATTGATATGAAAAAGGAGTCATTTTTCTTGCAAATCAGTGAAGGCTTTGCAGTGGATAGAGCTTGCTTCCTTTCTTGACATTTGAATGCCTCTATAACACCTTGACAATATATATCAGCTGATTCCATATTTTTTTAGCGGTCTCAGTGTAATTAGGCGTTAATTGCGTGTTCAAATCATCAATCACAGCTTGTATAACTGCTTCATAGTGCATGTTGTGGGTGGTTAAAGATGAATGAAAAATGAAGATTTGAGCGGGCGTTGGGTGTAAACGGGCGTTGGGTGGTTGATCACGTTAGTTAACTAGTAGACTGCCGCTTTGCAAAATCTTTAATTTCCAGCCTCAAAAATCTAGGCACATTGAAATTATGTATTTATTCAGGGCTCAGTCAGACTGCCAGTTCCCGTATGAGAGTCTCTTTGTGCGTCATCTTAGGACTGTCCAAGAGCATTTTATTCCCCGTGGATTACTGGAACATTGTGCCTCCGGACTTTAACCAAGTGCTCCTTATCTGACCTCTTGGGCTGAAACGGTAGTTATTGGATCATATCATGCGTGGGAAGTCTCTCATGGTTTTTGCCTGGTTTCATTGTGGTTTAAGGGCAAAATTCTCTATGTATGACCAAGCAGCGTGCAAGTGAGAAAAAGATAGCCTGGTGGTTCTATTCATAATGCCTCCTCGAAGGAGCCATTGCAAGTCCCGGCTAGGATGCCTCCAATCCAAGGGAAGAAAGATAAAGGTATGGACGACTTGCCAATATTACGAACTTTCCTCCCTCAAATGATCGTTTCAAAAGGAGAAAAAGTAAATTTTGACCAGATTTGGCCCTTGATTCGTGCTCTGCTTACTGCGGTTCATCCCACTAAAGCAATAGTGTTTAACTACTGTTAAAAGTTTGACGAAACGCCCCCGCCGTGCGGCAACTGCAAAAAGCACGATATGGAGTGCAAGTTTGCTGTTCCTCCTGGCCCTGCGGCTACAAATGGCAGGCTCGCAGCGAGTCGGCCGGATATCCTCAATGACACCCTAAAGCTTACCTCCCATATCTTTATCTACAGCTTCATCTCCAATTTCCTCTACTACTGTTGATCAGCTATTTATCTTTACCACCTTTGAGAACAGAAGCTCCCGCTTCGCGTCTAATTTTCATCTTGATGATATAAACCTCTTGCACCATTACACGACAGACACCTATTTAACGCTATCAAAAAATGCCGAACATATAGAAATATGGAAGACTGTTATTCCCAAGTCCTCGCTCACCTGTTTCTAATGCATGGACCCTTAGCTCTTTCTGCACTCCATCTTATCAAATGCAGCAGCAACAACAATCCATCCCGTAGGAAATATGTGGGGATTGACCACCATGCGTCAACACCTCGCACTTGCTGCGTCCCGGCCAATGTTGAAATAAAATCACCCCCTCCAGCTGCAACGCTGTATTCGCGTTTTCTAGCCTCATCGCGGTGTTGGCATTTGCATTTTCTCGATTTATCGGCAGGCCAGGCGGGGGGAGAACCCGTTGCTGAGGATTTTCTCCTCTTTCGCGGCGTGGAGTGTGTCCTGATTACGTCATGCATGACACAGCCAGTTTCCAAGGAGGTGGAAAATGTCCTTGGTTATTTGCATGATTGCAATGGCGAACACGTAACCCAACTTAGTGCCGATGTTCTGAAGGATGCAAATGACCGTACAATTCGGGAACTTCGCATCACATTTGAAAGGCCTGTTTCGAGCTGGGACGCCGTTTTCCGGCTGGCCGCTTCTTCTCCCAGAAGCATATCTCGCCCATCTAAAGATGCGCAAACCCATGGCGTTGGTGATTGTTGCACACTACTATGTGATCCTTGGCAGACTGGATTCTTTCTGGTGGTCACAAAGTTGGGCGGGCCATTTGTTCGAATCAATTTATCGTTCGTTGGATGTGACGAGGAGGACTTTATTACGATGGCCAATGCAAATGATCAGATTAACCGATGGACTGTCAAATATCTGAGCTACAAATTACTACTATGCCGTAATTATAGTCCGTGCCTGCATTCCATTTGTATAGTGTAAACGGAGTATGGCGCAAGCCTGGATGGCGTCGTTCGAGTACATATATAGTACAGTGTATATGAAGTTACAGCCCGATAGACATATATCTTATGTTGCAACATTTATCAATATTCATAGGAAAATTCTTAGTTAACGGTAGCTATGCCTGGGGTTACGTTGTGCTGTAGTTTATATATTTCAACTTACCCAACGCGGGGGACGATATAGTGAGCTTTGGTAGTAACAAATGGTTCATCCAATCTATTTTTTTTCTCAAGCTTAGGTCAGCATGTTCCTTGGATGTTCATACAAGCCCTTCCGCCTTAGGCTCCCATCATCAACATCAACAACACCGCACTGGATGAGTTGCTCTTCTACATCTCTCCAACGTTATCCCCGCCAAAACAAAGGACTATGGCACGATTTCAACTGGTTGATTGTTGAAATGACTTTCATCTCGTTATAACTGGATCTCACTCAACAGCTCTGCATGTTACTTATTCCAGTCATAAGTAACAAGGAAACGCCCTGTCAACTGCATACATTGTATGGAATCCCATCGAAGCTGAAGGGTTCATTTGTGTGTTCCTGTGTTTGATTCATTCTTATACTCACTCTTTTTTGAAAGTTCCCCAGGCATCCCTCTCAAAGATATAATAAGATTTTACCAGGAGGTCTTAAAAATTTTTGAAGTTCACTCTTTGCTTCTCTACTTCAACTTTCCACTGGCATTACCTTATGTCAACAGGAGCAGGAGAATGCCTCTCAACGCCATCTCTCCATTCTGATTGGTGTAAAGCCAGCATTTTCTGGGGAAGGTTCCTGTCTTTTTACGATACTTGGTACAGTAATTCATCGGGACTGTCCATTATATATCCTTCTTTCCGAAATGGTTATGCCTGCGTTTGCTCTTATTTCATTCACCTCCTCCTTGTGAATATCGTTTCTGTCTTCTGTCCTCTACCAACCCCGTGTCCAGGTATATGGGCCTTCCTTGCCTTGGCAAAAATAAGTCCCAAGTCCCAAGAACACAGAAAACCCGAATTTACGACGTCGTCCATGCTTTGTTTTCCGGTAGATATGTCTTCAGATTCCGAATTCCAGAGTGAGCAACTTCATGCGAATGATGTTGCCTGTTTGGCGCCATCAGAGCCTAAAGATGCATCCGCGGACAAAAGTACCAGTAGCTTGGGAAATTCACCCCTCTCCCACGAATATGGTACCTCTCCTCCGCACGAAATTGAAAGGAGTGCTCGTGTTGACCAAGTAGAGATGCCGGAGCTTAGTCCCGAAGGGCAGGCTGCCATGATGACTGCGGCCCTCCTAGAGTTTTATTGTGAGAGTCGCGCAGCCGACATACTTAATGGGCAACCAGGATCTCACGGAGGATATTCTCGAGATTCTCCAGAAGCCAAATATCTCGGACGTCACCTCTACATGTACAAGTCCCAGTTCCTCTCCGGACATGGGGTCATTGCAGGAGGATTAGATGGAAATGACTGGGAGTCAGTGAGAAAGCATTACAGAAACAACCTGGATGTCCTGAGTGTTGCAGCCTTAGGAGAAACAGATCCGAACGGCAGACATTCGCTTCCACCATTCAAAGGAGCCAGCGGTCAGGGTTCGGCAACAATGAACTTTGGGCAACTACAAAAGCTTCTGGAAGGGCTTGATCTTGATAAGATAAAGAACTTCACTCCTCAACAGCCCTCTCGTCCTAATCTTCAAAGACGTATTACCGATAAGGCGTATTCTGATCCCTCTACCCAACCATTGCCCCCGAACATCGCCGACCTTGTGAGGCATTCACTCACTGCATTCTCCCAGATACCCATGGATTTTCCCCTGCTATCTCCACAGACCATTAACATCCCAACCTCCCGGTATGCCGCTGAATTTGAAGAGGAAGCATTTATTGGCAAAGGCTCATACGGTGCTGTGTACCGTGCGAGACATCATGTTGACAGCCAGGTATATGCGGTGAAAAAAATCCCATTGCGTGAGAAACGGTTGCGTCAACTCCAAAGGGATGGTTTGAGAGCCGTGGAGAGTATCTTAAAGGAGATTAGAACCCTTGCTCGGTTGGAGCACCCCAATGTTGTCCGTTACTTTAGCGCATGGGCCGAATTGTCAACTGGTTCAATTGTTGAGAGTGCCTCTTCCACCATTCCGGTTAGTGCTGATGGGATGGATGATAGCGAACAGGTCTCCTCCCCAAAACCCGAAACATCAGGATCGCACCACGAGGATCTAAGCTTTAGTATCGTTTTCGAAGAGTCGGGCCATGGAATCGTATTCGAAAATTCTTTAAAAGATAGTGAAAATGCAGAAGATAAAGAGAAAGGTCATTCTGACTCGTCTGTCACACGACGCAGGAAACGCCTTTCCTTTCAGGGTACAAATGGTAAGAGTGACACTGGAGACGTTGAAGAAGTGGAATCTCTTCCGAGGCCTTTTAGCTTCCCGAACCACGGGCAGACAACATCAGAAAGCGAAACCAACGATGACATATTTTCAGATGGAATGGGAAATGCTAGCTTAAGAAGCCTCAGCCGAAAAGTTAAACATGTTAAACCTGGACCTGTCTTAACATTGCACATTCAAATGTCGCTCCATCCGCTGAGCTTAGCTACATACTTAGTCCCAAGGCCCGCAACATCAGACACTAACAGCCCCCGACATTGCTACCATCTTATCCCTTCTCTCAAGATTATTCTGGGAGTTTTGGCCGGTGTTGAGTATCTTCATTCCATGGGAATAGTTCATCGAGATCTAAAACCAGCCAATATATTCCTATCACTCGCCAACCCACAGGACAAAATGATTTGTCCACCGTGCGATAAAAAGGAGATAAAGCGACCATGGTACACCAACCCTCGTATTGGTGATTTTGGCCTGGTCGCAGAAATTTCCCAGTATGGAGAAAGCAGAGGGCAATACGAATCGGGTTGTAACTCCACGGGGGCTCAAACTCGCCCTGTTGGAACAGAGTTCTATAGACCCCCCACCGTAAACTCGAAACAAATCCGTCCCCTTTCGCGCACAAACAAGACCTACGAACAAGAAAATGAGGGCAATCACGAACATGCTGAGATGGAAAACCCCTATGACATCGATGAAAGTCTGGACATGTTTGCTCTTGGCGTCATTCTTTTCGAACTGCTGTATAAGTTCGAAACTAGGATGGAGCGTCAAATGACACTCTGTTATTTGACCTGTTCACCAAACCAAATGGTAAAATCTTACCACGAGCGCAACCTTTCTGACCTCACTCCAATTCTTCCCGGTGACTTCGCCAGCAAGATTAATTGTTCAGAGGCTGCCAAGAATGAGAGCGAAAACGACGGTATGTATATACTCAATAAACTTACTGCGTGTATAAAGGGGATGCTGGACCCGGATTCTCGGTGCAGGTGGACGTGCAAAGATGTGCAGCGCTGTTTGAATGAGATTCTTTCGATGTGTGGAAATTTGAGTTGAAATAACGAGCTGAAGTCAGTCAGACAGAAAGAGATGGTGTCACACGATTCTGGATTTCTGTTGTAGGATCTTTTCATTTGTCAATCCCGAGGTCGTACCCGTTTATCCTGGGAATGGTCTTCTGGCGTTATACTTGAGCGACTTACAGTGCTTTTTTTTCAACCTTTCATATGTTCCTGTGGGGCTCATGATATTAGAGGCCAAATCTCCAATCAAGTATCATCGACTTTGATTTTGAGTATGTAACGCCATGGTTGTGGACGAATAAACTCGACTCCATCTTCGACTAGCTACTAGCTATGTTTGTTTCTTTATTTCTGATAGTTAACGAAAGTTAGACTTGTAGACTTAATGACACATTTTCCCAGAATGTATTTACCATACACTGCATCGAAAACTATAAGACTGAGAATTCTAGGAAATCATCGCATAACCACGGGGATATCTTCCAGCTTGAAGAGCAATTTGGTAAAAAGTAAAAAAAATGCAATGGAATATGAATAAAACTTCAGTGCAGCTCTCATAAACCTTCACAGTGCAGCTCTCTCAGTTTCATTTTCATTAATATAGATCACCGCCTTCCCGTATATCTTTCGTGCCTTCAAGTCTGCCATGGCATTTTGCACTTCTCTCAGACCACGATACCTCCTCTCATACGTAACGGGCTTAACGGCGCCAGACTCGATGAGAGCTGCCAAACCACCCCAAATCCGTTTCGTCTCACTCGGGTCTTTGCGATTCGTGTCTCCGTATCGCTAGGATGATATTCGAGTCAGCCATCTGGGAAACTTTCGATATATCATACCTAGATAACAAAAACCAGAGGGGGGAGGTCAACTCACGTATCCAATGACAACAGCCTGCCGCAATAAAATCCTATTAACAGACACTTGCTCCATAACGCCCTCCCTCCCGGCAAACCCTACAAGCACGATTTTCCCCGCAATGGGTCTCAAACACCTCAAACTCTCCTTAACGAGCCCAACATTATCAATCACAAGGTCCACACCTTTGCCTTTCGTAATCTTCATCACTTCACCCGTCCAACTCTCTCTAACCTTTTGACCCGTGCTATCATTGCCAGCACCAACATCGGCGAAATTCCCACCTGTCTCTACAATTCTATCCACACAACCGAGACCCTCAGCATCTCCACCTTCTCCAAATCCTCCAAACTCCTCACCCCAGCAACAACCCGCGCCCCACACGCCTTCGCAATCTGGCACGCATTAACTCCAATTCCTCCTGCAGCCCCATGGACCAGCACCCACTGTCCCTCCTTCGCACCTCCACGTACCATTACGGCCCCGTACGCTACCGTCGCGGTAGCGGCAAGACCCGCGGCATCCTCAAATGTCCATGCAGATGGGATGCGGTGGATGGAGTGAGCGGGGACGACGATGCGTTCTGCAAAAGCGCCTAGGCTGGCGCCGAAAACTCTGTCGCCAACAGACAGTGGATTATCAGACGAAGATATGGAATCGCCAATGGCGATTATTGTGCCGGAAAACTCGAGTCCAAGCGTAAATGGGGGACGGATTAGGGATGTATTATTTTGGTGCTTGCCTTGGGCGTAGAGGAGGTCGACGTGGTTTAGGGCTGCGCAGTGGTTTTTTTACCAGCGCTTCGTTGGGGCCTGGGGGTAGTGGAGCGGGGATTGTTTGTGAATGGAGGTTTGAGAGGGTTGCAGAAAATGAGGTGATTTGGATTGCTTGCATTGTTTTTTTTAAGTTACAACTACTGCTACGACTGTGTGAATAAATGGCAGTTGGTTAATGTGGTAAACAGCTGGCGAGGATTAGCTCATGACGAAGGGACGTGAGTCGAGTGATGTGGTTATGGAGATAGGTATGCGTCAAATTGGATAATCAATTGGAACGGTTCATTCAGCAGGAGGAGAGAGCTCTCCTCATGTTTGGCCCTTTATTTGTCGTCGCTGTTGGCTCCGGTTCAGACTGAAGCTGGTGCCTCGGGAAGTTACCGTACGGGCCGAATTTTGCGGGGAAGTTAATTTATCCCAAGCATCGTGAGCTTAGAGTAACTAGTTTTCCCGGCTTTCGGGATTGAGCTTTCCACCCTCCCGACGGTTGCACATGCACGTCATCCAAAACACGCTCCGCCGGAGATCAATAATAATTGAAAAAGCAAGAAATATTCATAAGCTATTTCTTGGATACAAAAACTAATTACTGAGGGCTAGCACTGTTCGAGATGGCTTTGTGGTAGTTCTTATCCGAACCAATTCAAGCAACAGGGGCCAAGGGAAGTGAAAATAAAATAAAACGACGATACATAGCAGGTCAACCCCTCATTTAGGAGCTATTTCCCACAATAAGTCAAAAATTGATACGAAAACAACGGATGGCAAAAATATCACTCGAGGAGTCAGTATTCCCACTTTAACATGGTTTGACGTATTCCCCATTGAGCAATGGATCCCGGACCACTTAATCGCTCCCGTTATAGGCGTTCTTCAAGGTCTGGATATCAAATTTGACGCTTTTCAGCATCACCTCACGCGTCCTCTTTGCCTTCTCCTCGTCGGGGTCGTTAATCATTTCCAACAGAGAGCCGGGTACAACCTGCCATGAGACGCCGAATTTATCGGTGAGCCAACCACACTGGAGCTCCTTGCCGCCATCTGCCGTCAATGCCGTCCACAGACGATCGATCTCCTCCTGGCCATCACAAACTATGAATAGTGACGCGGCAGGTGAGAGCTTGTAATGGGGGCCACCGTTTAGAATTGTTATCTGCTGTCCGTCGATAATGAATGAGACCAGCGTATCGTCGCTGAAAATTATGCGGGAGTTGTTGAATAGGGATATGTAGTGCTCGGCGGCCTTGATGCCGTCCTTCTCGAACCAAAGACAGATGTGGATTTTGTGTGAGGGAGTCTCGAATTTTGTAGTAGACATGGCAGTGGTGGGTTGCTTTGCTTGGTCTTGAGTTGGGTGAGAGAAAGTAATCGTTTTATCGAGGGGTTCTACCTTATCTGACTCCTGAGAGGTGGTATATGGAGCTTCGTTGAGGTCAGCAGTCGCCATTTTCCTGCTGAAAAGATGGCGTCAGGAAGTGCCTTTTATGTTAGGCATAGCATGAGCTTCTCGCTTCGCCATGGTAATCGAGGCTGCAATGGACTGTAACTGTGAGTCATTTCTCATCGAACAAGCAGACAAAAGGCCCCGTATCGAAGGGCATAGCAGCTCAAATAATCTTGTTTTTTAAGAATCGCCAAGTCTAACGATACAATTAGATTCCAGGCAGCAATCACGTGCATCCAGCCATTTTGGCTCATGCATGGAAACTCTTCCCATGGTTTTATTCTAAGTTCGGCCCCAACAGGGGGTTGAAGACTGATGATCATTCTCAGACTCTGTCTGTGGATTTATATATATATATATATATATATATATATATAGAGAGAGAGAGAGAGAGAAAGAACAAAGTTATTCTTGGGTTTATTACCGAGATCAAATGTCCAATTTTTAAAACAGGTCTTCAAAAAACTAGGGGCAGATTGGGTTATCGTCAACCCTCTCTACTCCATGCCTTGGTATACGTGGATGCATCACTAATAAAAAAGCATCCTATCTGAATGCTAAAGGCATACTTGATCACGTCGAGATGCCGATAGACTCCGCTTATAATAATCTACACAGTACTATTGTCAATCACCCATGCAAAGAAATCATGGCGAAAAAGTGTGTATGTTTCGAGAGAGACGGAGATGAGACTGGATAGTTATAGTTTACCTTTTAACCTGTGTACTGCCCTTTTTCCACCTCTGTGATACATATTCTTCCTTGCAACATCAGCAACAGTACCAGGGGATGTTGGAGAGCCGCTGGTGGAAGTGAATATTTTACTCCCAGAACGCGACCTACGCACGCAATTGGAATATTGGCGGGTGAGTTGGGGGAATCCATGTTCACATCGGATTGAATAGGGCGCTCCCTTGGAACGATTGTCAGTGTCATTCCTGATTCCTCGGGCGAGCATACATCGATCTGAGGACAAAACATGAGACTGCGTATTTACTTGAAGTTTTGTAGACAGGGCCGGCCTAACCAGCGGGCTCCAAGCCAGGCGACGGATGCCATTTCTCTGGGCATTAAACGGCAGGCTTAACCTGAGCTCGGCTTACGTCATTCGCACCGCAGGGACAGGGATTTATTTTGATACCTGAGCAATGGGCTTTTCTTCCTGTTCGTGTGGCTTTTGAAAAAGGGTCAAACGTAACGCCGTTGTGGAACTAGGAAGAAAGCTAACGGAGAAAAAGGGCACGAAAATTGGCCTGACTTTCCCACAGCAATATATATGGAAGTTCTAGGCCTGGAGCTCCCGATCTGCAAGTTGATGCTGTGCTGCACCTAAATCCCATGTCGAAGAACCGCCAGGGTTTGAAAAGAAGTATTTTCTCTTTTATTTCAAACTCCGGTCTGTCTCCCTGGTTTGAGCTTCTGTCTGTGTAATTAAAGCCAGGGCAGCGGTTTCATTGTTCTCCTCGCTCTCATTGTTGCCTTTCTTGTAATCGACTTCGTCATTTTCGTTTTGTTTATTACACCCCTTTTCAAGTTTCAGCATGGCATTCTTTCGAAGATGGGTCATCACCCTACTTTTTGCTCTTGTTTTCCTATTTACTTTTCTTCATCTCAATAGAGTTTCGATTTCGTCGTCTCGAAAAGAGCCGGTTGTCCATCATTGGTTCAAGCGACATGTCACTAAGCATCCTGTGTCGTCAATGGTTCCCCTTCCGACCACCAAACCTGTGTCGATTCCAAAAATCCAATTTGACTTTGGTGTCGAAGGCACCCATTCAAGAAAGATCAGAGAACATCGCCGGGAGGCAGTCAAAAGAGCCTTTCTGCATACGTGGAAAGGGTATAGAAATCATGCGTGGTTGAAGGATGAACTCGCGCCTGTAAATGGCGGAGCTAAAACTACATTTGGTGGATGGGGTGTAACCCTGGTTGATTCACTGGATACCCTGTGGCTCATGGATTTGAAGGTTGAATTCAAGGAGGCTGTTGCGGCGGTCAAGCACATTGACTTTTCATCCTCTGAAATGATGATGTTGAACGTCTTCGAGACCAACATTCGCTATCTGGGAGGATTCTTAGCAGCCTACGATCTCACTAGGGGTGCATATCCGATTCTCTTGCAAAAAGCCATGGAAGTTGGAGATCTTCTATATGTTGCATTTGACACTCCAAACAGAATGCCAGTTCTCCGTTGGTATTGGTCAGGGGCAAGAGATGGCGATCCCCAGGAATCAAGTAGCCGAAGCATCCTTGCTGAACTAGGTTCCATGTCCGTGGAGTTTACCCGGCTTTCACTAATTACTGGAGACCCCAAGTACTACGATGCCATCCGGCGCATCACAAATATACTTCAGGAACACCAACTTAGCACAAAGATCCCTGGAATGTGGCCGTTGTCGGTCGACACGCAAACTCTCTCTTTTGACAGGGATCGCCAATTCACCCTTGGCGGTATGGCTGACTCGTTGTATGAGTATCTACCGAAAGTACAGAGCCCGAACCCAATGTTCCTGTCCAAGACCTCTAGCTGATAATGCGTGCAATAGGAATACCTCTTACTTCGCGGCCGAAACCAGCAGTACAAGGATATGTACGAAAAAGCCATTGATGTGGCCAAGAAACACATTTTTTTCCGTCCAATGACCAACAACAGTGACGACATCCTAATATCAGGAGGTGGTTATGTTGGAGGGAAAACAAGGGTCACCCTCAAACCTGAGAGTCAGCACCTCACTTGCTTTGCAGGTGGCATGGTTGTCCTTGGTGCCAAGGTTTTTAACCGCCCTGAGGATATTGACGTTGGCAGGAAGCTCACTGAGGGTTGCATCTGGGCGTACAGAACCATGCCCAGCGGGATAATGCCCGAGGCATTTGAGGTGGTCCCTTGCGAGGACTCAACAGATTGCAAATGGCAGCCGGAATCGTGGTTTGTAAATGAAATCCATTCCGGCGCCTCGCGTAGCGACTTTGAGCGTATGGGTCAGGAACAAGGGAAGATTGCTGGCTTTGCCGCAATCAATGACAGGAGATATACGTTGAGGTATGTATTTTATCAACTTTCCCCGTTTCCACAATTCCATCACCTTTATCAACCCAATTACTCAAACAAAGATCCAAAAACAGACCCGAAGCTATCGAATCCGTCTTCATCCTTTACCGCATCACCGGTGATGAGAGTCTCCAAGATAAAGGCTGGAACATGTTTTCCGCCATCGAGAAGCATGCCAGGACGGACTTTGCCTACGGAGGTCTAGATGACGTGACGTCGCAGAAACCGATTGTTCTGAATGAAATGGAGTCCTATTGGACAGGGGAGACGCTAAAGTACTTCTATCTTCTATTTAGCGAGCCGGATCTCGCGAGTTTGGATCGGTATGTTTTTAATACGGAGGCGCATCCGTTGCTGAGGGAGTGAAGTTCTAGGATCTCATATCATGCAGCATTTTCTATAAAAGGGTAGTTAATAGATGGTTGAGGGACGGTTGGTAATATTTTTTCTTTCCCCCAATCCCCCGCAGCCCCCGTTTATTATTTCTTTTCATTTCCTGGTTTTGTAATTTTACTGCATCAAGGAGTTTTGGTCATTTTTGATTTTCATGGTTAACTTACCATCGCAGTTGACTTTATTTTCTTGCCTTTTCCTTCCTTTCTTTCTTTATTCGCCTTTTCTATCTGCTAGCAAGTAGATGGGTTGTTGTCCTCATGGATGGAAAAGGAGGCGTGATATCCAGCTTGTTATTATCCCGAGGATCATATCATCGGAAAGACCGTCGGTACCTGCCTAGGTTAGACCACCGACGGGAGAGCAATTAGTCTTTATTGCATCCATTATACTATATGACATATTGTGAAAAATGATACCGCCTGAAGGAGATATCATCCAAAAATCACATGGTGACAGCCGAGACGCGGTGTGCACTCAACACCGTACGGTTCTTATGGTTGCTGAATTTGCGGGGAAAAAGAACCCTCGGGCCAAAATTGTTTGAGTGTTGTTTGTCAATGCTGATAGCACTAAGCATAACGGCAGCTCAAAGTGGATAGGCAAGAAATGATAGAAGCATTGAGCTTGATGATTCCAAGGTTGGCAGTTCATTCTCATCATGTTCAATGCAAACATTTGACCCGGCAATCTTATCTCGCTATACAAACCCAAAGAGCTCAGTGCAATCAATCAATACCCTTTGACATACTTAGCCCGGAAGAATCTTGAATAAAATATCCTAAAACAAAAATATGTTGCGAGATGAAATAGAATGAGAGCGCTGATGTTCTTGCACATATCAGAAGTGTTTTACACAATGATTAGCTTTCCATAATTGCCACGTGATCCAGGTCACCGAGACCATCATACATGATGACGTAATCTCAGCTGTTGGACGTTTCCCAGCGTTTGCCAGAGGGGACTGTGTAAAATTTAGCATCAGACTGACGAAAATTCCACAGAAAGCCCCTTTGGGCATTGCTGTGGTATTTAGTGTTCTTTCTATACATCTACATGTCGTACCATTTCGAATGGAGAGCTTTGATGATGTAGCTCGACCTCTCAAAGGGGCCGCTGAAGAGCCGTGTTTGGCGGACGGGTTGCTCCCTGAACCACCACTAGCCGATATCGAGATCAAAGACATAGGGCAGAATGGTGGTGTCTGTACGCCTCTCCCAGATCCACTAGTTAATCACAAGCCTCCCAATGAATTAACCCTATTTGACGTGGATACAGAAGGAGGAGATGAGGAGCCAGATGTGGCTAAATCTTTCGAGCGGACTTGTTCCCAATCCACTGGGGCACAGAGAAGCAGGCATTTTCTCGACGGGAAAATTTGTGATGACTGGATCTCTAGAATGCACAAGTTCTCTCTATATGAAACGTCAACGCGGTATTACATGGTGGGCATGGATCTGTTGGAGCAACGATTCCGGATCCTTAAAATCGAGCGCACTTCCGAGCTAGACGATCTCAGTATCTCAGAGGACGATACCGTTTACACCAAAAGTGAAATGAATCAGCTCCTCGATGCGGTTGATGATGGCAACAAGAGCTCTGGGGGGTTGAAACTAAGGTGCAGCTCCTGGGGCTTGCTTGGCTTTATCAGATTCACTGGCCCATACTACATGCTGTTGGTCACCAAGAGAAGTCAGGTCGCAATGGTGGGTGGGCATTATATCTATCAGATTGACGGGACGGAACTTGTGCCACTGTCGTCCTCGACATTTTCCCGAGCAAAGGCAGACAAGAACCCAGAGGAGGCTAGATTTATAGCCATTATGAATAATATTGATTTAACGCGCTCTTTTTACTTCAGTTACTCTTACGACATCACACGAACGCTTCAACGAAATATTTCCTATGTACGAGAGAAGCTCCAAAAGAAAGGATCTAGCAGCCGGAACGACGACCATAACCAAATGTTCGTTTGGAATCATTACCTTTTGGAACCAGTGGTCTCGCTTTTCAAAAATGCATATGACTGGTGCCTCCCTACCATTCATGGATACGTTGACCAGTCAATTATATCGGTCTACGGAAGGTCAGTGTATGTCACAATTATTGCACGGCGTTCAAGGTACTTTGCAGGTGCTCGATTTCTAAAGCGCGGTGCAAACGATCTTGGTTACGTTGCAAACGATGTCGAAACCGAACAGATTGTCTCCGAAATGCAAACCACTTCCTTTCACTCACCTGGTCCAAAGCCTTATGCAAGCCCTCAGTATACATCTTACGTACAACATCGTGGTAGCATTCCGTTGTATTGGTCGCAAGATAGCACTGGAGTCAGCCCGAAGCCCGACATTGAGTTGAATCTTGTTGACCCGTTCTACTCAGCGGCCGCTCTTCATTTTAACAATCTCTTTGAGAGATACGGTGCGCCGGTGTACGTCTTGAATCTTATCAAAGGGAGGGAGAGAATCCCACGGGAATCCAAGTTGCTAAAAGAGTTCACGAATGCCATTAACTACTTAAATCAATTTCTCCCCGAGGATAAAACCTTACTTTATAAAGCATGGGATATGAGTCGAGCATCAAAGAGTCCTGATCAGGATGTTATTGGCACGTTGGAAGATATCGCCGAGGATATTATCCCGAAAACCGGATTCTTTAGAAACGGTGAAAATGAGGAATCCGGCTTACGATTACAAAATGGCATCGCACGAACAAATTGCATCGACTGTCTTGATCGAACAAACGCCGCTCAGTTCGTTATTGGGAAGCGGGCACTAGGATATCAACTCCATGCCTTGGGAATTATCGACGAAACGTCCATCGAATACGACACTGATGCTGTCAATCTATTCACGAGTATGTGGCATCACCATGGAGATACGATAGCCGTTCAATATGGCGGGTCTCACCTCGTAAATACTATGGCAACATACAGGAAGATCAACCAATGGACAGGGCATTCCAGAGACATGGTTGAAAGTTTTAAACGTTATTATAACAATTCTTTTCTCGATGCGCAACGACAAGAAGCATACAACTTATTTCTAGGAAACTACATTTTCTCACAGGGTCAGCCCATGCTGTGGGATCTTGCCACGGACTATTACCTTCACCATTCAGATCCTCGAACGCGATCAAACAACTATAATTACATACACTGGTTCAATCCAGATTATTTAAAACCACAGAAACCACCCACCGCAGTGACTCTCCAAGGACCAGAGAAACCCCAAGTCAACACCTTCGATGACTACTGGCTAGAATATTACAGACCGCTAGCCCTCTCCTCATTCTCCAAAATCTTCTCCAACAAGATGAAATCTACAATCCGCTATCTTCCCTTTCGATCAATCCAAGGCGTTCAATATGATTTTAGCCCATTTATAGTACGTCTAATTAATGAACCTGACAGCCGCGAAAGGAAGACCCCGCGACGAAAAGGTGTTACCATCCAAGAACCGTTATTAGAGGTCTTGAGTGAAGACGCACTATCTACAAGCTCCCGCGCAGAGTCATCAACGGTACCTAGATGCCTTCAGGATTGGCTCCAACAGCCGCCATCAGCGGAGAAACAGCCTCCGCAGACCGGCATTATGAAGACCCCCCGCTTCGAAATTTCCGACCACCTGGATGACTTCTTTCCCAACAGCGCACATATTCCCAGTAAAGCTCAAATCACCCAATGGAGTCTCGACGATTTAGTCTACGAATCACTCCATCCGTCAGTCTCAAGAGCTGAAGCAGAAGAATATGAACGCTACATCAACCACCCTCTCAAAGTCCCTCTGGTTGTTACGTCCGAAGACACCCTGGCTGCCGCGTCGCTGGCGGAGCGAGGATCAAATCTAGATCTCTTCGAGTACGTGAATAAATTAAACCTTGACGATTCAAACTTGGACCTGCTAGCGGAGGATAATCTACCAGACTATCTTGAGTTTCTGAACGTGGGGGAGGAAGGGTTAACGGTCATTGGGGAAGATCATGATAAGAAAAGGTACAAGCGTTATCGGCAGTGGCTGAGGGGGAAGAGTCTGTTTAAACAGCGGGTTGATATATGAATATTGCCCATTTCTCCGTTTCTCAATTCATGGCGTTTAAAGCTTCCTTTTCTCGGGTAGTGGTGTATTACTTCTGTTTTTTGCTCATTGTTTCCTATCTCTTGGTGCATTTCCAGCTGTTTCATCCATGCTTTGAAATGATAACCCCGTCGATGAGTTCTTGATAACACCGGCATTGGACATATTTTGGTTTCTCTTCGTAAATTGCTCGTGTTTACGCTACGTATATATACTTTTAATCCTCAGTTTTGTGCATGATGAAACCTTTCGCGTCTCTTTGGGGTACGTATCATTGAAGTGCTGTTCTGGAAATGTTGAAATTTCAGCATGACAATACCATGGGTGGCAATGTTGCGAATACTATTAACAAAAATATAGTCATTCATCGTTTGGGTTCCATAGATCAAAGCCGCTGAACTGCACTTATCCGTTACCAAACTCTAACCCCTTACTAGGAATCAAAATTCTCATTCCCAATCAATAATCCATGCAATTTCTCATCTCCTCCAACCAACTCCCTGAACTCACCGTCAACATCAATAGCTCCTCCATTCCTACCCTCGTCTCCAGCTCCTCTTGCTTCATGATCTCCCACTCCCTTCTCGAAAACAAGGTCTGCACATTCTGTAATCGTGATCCTTAAAACCCCAACAACCTCCTTAAGGGCACCCTGTAGCCCAATCAAATCCGCTCTCCATCCATCACCAGCATCATTACCTCTCTTGGGTGTAATGCTGGCAACAGCACCACCAGCATCCATATCCATATCTGCTAATTCATCGCACACATGCAACCAACACGCACACAGCCCGGCCAGCAGTTCAGCTCTCCATCTCCAAATCCTTGGCCAAGCATTCAACACTAGCACTTTAGCTGCTTCCGTTGCTGCCAAAAGAAGAGGAGGATATGCCGTACCAAATGGATTTGACAAGGTAGCTGAGAGCACGGGAACGAGATCCTGTAGATGCTTGGTAGTGTGGATGCCTAGCTCTGAGGAGACGAGCGAGAGCTGGGAAAGCAGCAGCGCGGAGAGGCGTGGGTGTGGGTATGATGATATTGATGTATTTTCTATGGGGGCGGGGTTGCTAGTGTGGTGGTAAGATTGGAGGATACTCTGTCGGAGGAGGCGGGTAAGGGATTCCAGTCGCTGTTGGGATTCGGGGTCTTCTTTGAGGCTGGTCTGGGTTGTTTTAGAGTATGAATATTGGGATTGGGATGAAGGAAATCGGGTGCGAATTACCGCAAGGCATGCTGGATACGCATATTGGAGCAGGTGGATGGATTCAGATTCGGGGGTGAGAGTGGGTAGGGAAAGAAGGCAGGGAGTAAGAGCGTCTTGAAACACTGAATCCAGGTTCGTGCGCCTGAGTAAGTCGGATTTCGATTCCTCAAGAGGAGCTAGAAATTTAAAGAGAAGCTCGCAGCCCTTTGCCTTGAAGGGGAGCGTCTCGTCGTCTATTAGAGAGAGGATTGCGGGAACGAGGAGAGGAAATTGGGATTCCAATGTGGCCTTGTCTGAGGGCTGTTAAATTGATTCCTTTTTGTTAGCAGTGCATTTGTAAACCCCTCCTCCTCCACGGCTGCATCTAGACTCGAATTGGGATGACTTGAAATATCTCCTCTCCACGTCGACAAGATCGTGTAGTCAATAACGTGGATACCAACATACCGAATACCTCCCAATCACCCAAGAGAGCACCGCGATAACATAGAGGTCCTTAAACTTCCACGGCTTAGACTTCGGATCGAAAATACTTGGATCAAATCTCGGCTGGGGGATAGGATGCACATTCTTCCTCCCGGCCGCTGTAACTGCAGGAGTTTTCGTTTTTGAAAATAAAGGCTTCACTTTTTTTCTAAGTACCCCTTCAAGGATAGGGGCCAGCTCTTCTCTGTTCTGTGAGCGTAAAAGTGACTCATAACGTTCAAGGATAACAGAGGCCGCGTTAAATGCGGTCTCTGTTGTCCATGGATCCTTCCTGCAGGTGAAAGCAGCCAAGGCCGTGATAATATCGACTGAATCGTCGATTTCAAGTTCATTGATAGGACTAATCGAATGGAGAAGTTGTAGAACTGAGACTCCAACAGTTGACTTCAGTCGAGCAATCTTGTACCTTGCCAGCGTTGGCAGTTTTGCAGCTTCACCAGTTGGTGATCATCAGCAAAAGCCAGGTTGCGTGTCGCAAACCAATTTACTCACTGTCTGAAAGCTGAGCCTCCTCCCATGCACCGGTGAAGTCTTCATTTGGAAGAATAGCATTGGCAGCCCAGAAAATGAAGAATCTTGCCGCCTCTTGATCTTTCTTCTGTAACTGGCCGGGCCTGTCGATGATAACTCTCAAAGCAGCCTCCACAATAAGTAAATCTTCGCATTTCTAAACAGAACGATATTAGCAGGATGTATAACCGATGCTCCTTAATAAGTTCAAGCGTACCTTTTCATCTGTATCGGAGGCAGAAGATTCGTCTGCGCTTATTTCAGACCATAATTCTCCAAGGCTTATATCTGGTTGTATTTCAGAAGGGTTCAGATGATAGCCAACGGTGTCATCGACCGTTTTCCACCTTGCACGCACCGCAGCTCTATATTGGTTCATGAATACGGATTAAGTTTGAGTAGAATATGGATTGAGATTCCTACGGCAATGGTATGTCAGGTTGGCAGGGTTTGTGTCAGCCTGTCAACCTATTTTGATGCATGTCTAGATTGATATTGGGGTGAAAGAAAGTTTGCCTCCAGGTTGGAATACAGGGAGCGCTGCCGAAGGTAGTTAGTTCTTAGGTCTTTTGAAGTTTATACCAGGAACATGTTCCGCCATTTCATGTTATAGAACGACACTATGCATAATATGCAACGGTGGAGTTTCTGTAAATTCATGTTGATTTCCGCAGTCATAGAGAATTACGTCAACACTACACCAGAAACACATTACTACCTACAAAGTCATTCATTTTTAGGCTCTGAAGAACTCTTTAATCCGTGCCGAAATTGTCTTACACACAATCTATATGTTGCGTTTGATATTATTCAAGTCCAATTCCCCTTTCCTTCGAAGGAGTTCACTAATCGCGGCCTCCTTGCTTGTTTCTTCTGGGTTGCGGAGCTGCCATTCAATTAACATCTCCATAGCAGTACCCATCCACGGCCCCGTTTTCACGCCCAGTGCACTGACGATATCATGACCATTGATAAGTGGACGTAGTGAGAATGCGTCGAGAAGATTGTCATTCTCAATGTACAAGAGAAATTTCTCGTAACTTTGAAATACTGTTTTAAACCGACGGATGTTAACTTCAGTAACTAGCATGATAATGGTGCGGTGATCTCCTTACATTGGTGCGGTTCTTGTCCATGCATAGCTTCGCGGACTATCGCAAGGACAAAGCATAATCTCCAGTCTCGGCCTATGGTTCGAATTAATTGTCCAACTTTGGCACGAACCTCTGGGGGAGTATCGGCAATTTCGTCCTTGAGGAAGGATGATTTCATATTAGATATCATCTTGTGATACTTGGATGCCGCGGTAATGATATTGGCAGCCTTGTTGTCGGCGCGCAAACTATCTTTAGCAACAGTTGTTGCACGGGGCATAGGCTCCGTGGGCTTCGATGGTATCGGGTCTGGAACTGTGGTCCACGGCGCAAGTGCAGCCAGAAGCCATGAAAAGTACCGCTCGTTCTCATTACGGATCAATATATCTCGGACATATTGACGTGACTTTTCAAATCCGGTACCATTTTCGGCGGAATTACTCAATAGGAGGCTTAGCACATCATAACCCTGTTCCCAGGACGATGTATCAACCCCGACATTATCCTGATGGTTGGCAAGTATAGTATCATACAAGCCTAATCGATTGATCCGTTGTAAGGCTGTCAAGGGGTCAGGACCTAAAGGTAGGAGTCAGCTAGACGTTAAAAATTGGGGTTTAGATGGGGTCTTGCTTCTAGGATAGCATACCTCGCAAGGTTTTCTCAATCTCGACACCGATTCTTTCCTGACTAATCTTGGCTTTTAGAGCTGATTTGATAGCATCTATTTTCATAGCTTCTTCCGTGTCACAATCAATAGTGTAGCCCAGCCTGCTTGCAAAACGAATCAACCGTAGGACTCGGAGTGGATCGTCTTTAAAAGTCTGAAATGGTTCCATTGGTGTGCGTATGACTTTATTCTCCATGTCTTGCAATCCCTGTCCCGTAAAATCTTCAATCAACTCTGTATGAATATTATAGAATAAAGCATTCACTGTAGCATCCCGTCGAAGTGAATCCTCTTCTGGTGTCCCAACTTCGATCTGGGGATTTCGACTCTCGTCTGTATATGTTTCCTTCCGAAGGTTGACAAAGTCAATATCCAATCCGAACATTCTCGTCGTGGCTGTCTCCAGGTGTTTTGATCTTTCAGGATTCTTCTCGATTTTATGAAGCTTAATGAAATCAACAACAGAAGGGTTGGAAGGGTGAAGTTTCTTGTATTTTCTGAGATTTCCAGGAATAGAGAGGTATTCTTTGAGGCCCTCCCCAAATCTCTCCCCCGTCATGGAGTTTATCGCTACGTCGATGTCGTGGCTTTCAACACCGAGAAGCTTGTCTCGCACCCATCCTCCAGCGAATCGCAAAACCAGGGGCTCTGTAGCTGTTAGTGTTGTGTCTGGTTCTCTTTTATTACGTTGCTGGATGAACTCGGCTGCATCAAGTAGACACAGTCGCAGAGTTTGTTCGATAGGCGTGAGCACAATTCGGGGGAGGGTTGGATGGTTCATGTTCGTCTCTTTAGCCACGGCTTTCTGTGAAATTTTTTTCCCAAAAGTCTTTGAAATCCGTCGCCGTTTGCTACGTCTTTCATGGGGTGTTGGGATCTCTGGTTTTCTAGATGACATAGGCCCCCTCAATAGCTGTGGCTGTGGGTAAGCGAGCAAGCCCTTGTAGAAATGTTTAGATTCGATTCCTCTCCAAGTTATAAACGATCGTCTACATGGAGCTGTGGTGAATACGGTGAGCTGGGTGCAGTGCAAGGTTGGCGATGAGAAACGAAGGGTCATCTGGTGGTAATGCGTTGCTTAACGGGAGAAAATGGCTGTCTCATTATGGTGACGAGTAGCTATTCAAATAATCCCGGAAGATGTCATAGAGGTGCTGGATCTGCATTTTTAATGTTTATATTCACATTGCTCTTTGTTATCTCATCAGTTGCAGATTCACCAGAGTTGTTATAGATTTTGATATTATAAATATTCGGGTTGATGGCGGTAGTTAAATATGAACTAAAGTAAAAATATTTTATCATGAACGCAACGTAGTGATCTTTTTTTGGGGGTGATCCTCGCCGCTGTCCTTTAAATTTGTCAGGTACACAACGGCAGCGCCCCACAGCACATACAGCACCTCTATATATAATCCAATAATCTCTATCTGCCCCCGTCTACTATTCATGCTATAGATACCCTTCAGCATAGCCATTTTCTCCATTTGATCGAGTCCCCGAGGTGTCCATGACATCACCGGACGATGTTACGCCAGTCAAGCCTCCGCCGTCCTTCTCACCCGGAGCCGCCCTCAATGTCTCCAAAGCCAGATACCCAGAAAAGATTCAGACCACCCAGCCGGTGATCTCTTCGCTATCAGAGTCCATTCTGACCGACTCTCCTCCGGAACGGCGTTCGTCCGAACTATCCCCTAGAACCGTATCTCCCAATGGGAGGTCGCATTCCGCCTCGCAAATTTCCCGCTCAAGTGCTGTATCACCGCTAGGGTTCCAAGTTGATACTACAGATGACATCCGCTCTCTAATAATTCGTGCATTTTCCCCCGTTGTCGGTGTATATGCGTCGCCAGACACGGATGCGCTCGTACGGCGAAAAGGATTCAAGAATGGCTTTCACGAGTTGATACGACCGTTTGGGGAAAGGATTACAGGGAAGATAGTTATACGGGATGGTGTGGGCTCGAGTCGCACTTGGGAGGATTTCGGGGTCCGTTTTGTTGACTTGGACACGAAAAAGAATCCCACAGAGTCCAGCCAAACGGATCCCGCTCCATCTCTTATTCAGATAGAACAGGTGCTCAACAGGCGTGTCCACTCCGTCGTTGACCCATTGGCAGGCTGGACTCGAGGTGGTGACAGCGGACACGGCGATTTACCCCTAGCTTCTCCATACTACAAATCATTTCTCAGACGGTTGCTCTCGGCGACGTACCCGGCGCCTCACGAAACGTTCGCACATCCTGTCGCCTGTGTTATTGTCATAAGTTCCCATACACCTTCACCTCTTGAATCATTGCGTCAGCTATATGCACATACAAGCCAGGGTGACAAGCGTCCACCGCCATGGGTGCATCCTGAATATCTTCGATATTACGTACTTGTTCATGATGAAGACAGAGATGATATCGCACAATCAACGGCATTATTTGATCAAATGAAACGGCACTTTGGGCTCCACTGCCATCTTTTACGACTGCGGAGCAATCAATGCGTCATAACAGACGATGATAGCACGCACTTCCCGTCTTGCGAATGGCTAACTCCAGCCGAGGACCTCCGGCAGCTAGGTGAACAAGGTGCGTACATATTTCTACGAACTGACCAGAATATTCTAGCTAATATCCGTGTAGAAGCCCTGATTGATGTTGAGACCGAAGGTTCATATCTCTTTGAATCGGACCTCACTGCCATCAAAGCATTCGTTCGGGAAATGGTCGCCCAGTCTGTAATTCCCCATATGGAAAACCGAGTGGCGCTCTGGAATGACCAAGTTGCCTCTCGAAGAAGAGGTTTGAGTGGTCGATTTATGTCCATGTCTAGGCGCTGGGCCGGATTCGGAGCAAGCACTAGGTCCCCTAGCGGAACTTATGGTGCCGGTTCAGGGAACAATTATGATTCTCTTCAAGGATTCTATAAACCTGATGCGCCGGAAGCAATATTACGAAAGTTAGCGGATTTTGCTTTCATGCTCCGCGACTGGAAGCTTGCATCCTCAATCTATGAACTTGTGAAGTCTGATTTTGGACATGATAAAGCCTGGAGGCATCAGGCTGGTGCCCATGAAATGTGTGCTGTGAGCACATTATTAAACCCGTTAGCATCAACAGCGAAAACAAAGCTTGAATCTATCGACCAACTTCTGGATACTGCTAGCTACTCGTATCTTACTAGATGTTCCGATGCCCAGAACGCATTACGAACCCTTGTTCTCGGTGTGGAACTCTTGAAATCTCGTGGTGGTTCGGCCTCTGATACTGCCGCAAAGTGGGCAATACGAATCCTTGATATGGGTCTTGTGGGTGACACTGGACGGATTCTTATATCCGAGCGAGTATCTGCGTGCTATGCCTCCAAAACGGGATTCGGGAGTGCGAAATGGGGAATACGCCGAAGGAAAGCTGGAATGTGGACCATTCTTGCTGCGGACTCATGGCTGAAGCAAGGAAAACCAAATCTTGCATCTATTTGCCTCGAGGAGTCGGACCGTCTTTATAGCGAAGCATTGGATAAAGGAAAGGTGCTTCTGCCAGAAATGCAACAGTTCATCGACAATCTACGGAATGCCGTGCAGATCGGATACCTCGAATCTCGAGGCCTTAATAGTGAAGCCGAAGTATCGAGTCCAATCGATTTTAGCACAGAAGAGACCAGCGAGAAACTCGATAAACGCAACCATCGGAAGTCATTAATCGGAGGAGTGAACCCGCTGGAGGCAAAGCCTTTAACTGTTACCCGCTTAAAATCAGATGATGAAAGCCCACGAAATGATGATTTCGAACAGTTAAGATGATCTGATTGAAACAAATGCAAACAAATGGATTATGGGGCATATGGGAGGTAATATCAAATTTAATACGCGACATATGTAGAGCAGGATTTCTTTTTTTTGCGAAGGGGCGTTTCAGGGCGTTCGCAGGATAATAGCCGCAGCATCTACTACAGCATAATCACATAGTTATTCCAATCCTCGAATATATCAGACTTTAATTGCTCCTTTCGATAATCACCAGTCTTCCTCTATATGCCCTGTAGAAATGCACGTGACCCCACTGCTTGTCGCGCTTTATCGATATAACTAGAAAGTGACGTCTGGCCTGTAATGCTCGTAAACCACATGAATAATCAATCCGGGCAATCCTTTATAATAACAAGAATGAACTTGGAGCCGTCTTATATTTCTCTGACAAGATCTCTTCCAGGAGAAAATAGCGAAAAGTGATTATGCGCTGAAATACCAAGTGCAGCCAGGTAGTGAAATCTTCACTAGCTGCATCAAGCACCACATCCTACACAACAGCTATGAGCGAGCTTCTAGCATATATCCTTGCAAATGAGGAGTCTTTCCGAAGGTCAGCCGTCCATTATATAAACCCTTGTTTACTATCGCAGAAGCTAATAAACAACACATAATACAGAGCTCGACTTCCCTCCCTGTATTCAGACTTTTCTACCCAGCGGTATACCAATCCGGATGGATACGAGATAAACATTACGGCATGGCAGCGGGCGCTAGCTCATGCTGCTCTTGCGGGTGTTATACATGCTTCCCCGGGAGGTAAACACAATGGTGTCGAAAAAACTGCTGTCAAGAGTAATTTACTCGTGCTGAGGGTGGGGGACGCTCTCATGGAAGAGTTGGAGACGACGGAATGGGGACGCCCAGTGGCTTTGCAGAGTGCAATTGTATGTCTGAGTTGTGGCCCTTTCTTAAATATGTCAATCTTCTGTTGGTCCTTGTCGTCTTTCGCGTGATCCGTAACGGCTACCTTACTTATTTGGTTTTCAACTTGGGTTTGCAGGACGAAGCTGTGCGGTCGAGTTCCATGATACCACTCGATACCTTCCAGATGAGCTCTATTAGCCCCTTTAAATCGACATGGCTATGCCTCCCTTCGCCTCCCACAATATCACAAGTCATGGGCTGGAGCATGAGGCAGATAAAAGGTTTCCTCCCTTTTGAGGGCAATTCGGATGGTTCAGAAAAGCTACAAACAATGAACTTAGTTTTGGTGGATAATTTAAAGGTATGTTACTATAACACCTCTCCTCGATCTTCCCCCCGATAAGAATCCCCGTGCTAGGTCGGGCACGTTTCTTTCTGTGCACCCTTCTTTTTTAACCTGGTTTTCATGTTTATGTTTCTAGGAAGTTGCAAAACGAGTCATTGCGGCCGGCGCAAAATCACATATATCCAATACGGACTACATATATTCCAAGGAGCTATTTACGAAACAATTCGCAGATATATTAGGTGGGAAAGCCGTGTTATCTAATTTGGATTTCGATGTCCTCCTTATATTCCTATCCAGGGATGAAAATGCAATTATTTATGATGGAGAGGTAAGAACACCACTACTTCTGTACTTTATTATTGAAGATATATGTGTATATACACTAATAAACCGCTAGACAATCAAATTTAAGAGCTCCAAAAACAATACCAAGTCAATAACCCATGAAGACCGGACAATCGCGTCGTTGAAGACGCTGATATCAAATCTATCCGGACAGGTCGCAAACCTAGAATCAAAACTTAAGGAACTATCACTCAGAGCAAAATATGCAGTAGCTGATAAAAACCGCGTTGTCGCTCTATCCGCGTTGCGGTCGAAAAAGATGGCAGAAAACAATCTCAAGCAGCGGGCAGACACTTTACTCCAACTCGAAGAAGTATATATGAAATTGGAGCAGGCAACAGACCAAATAGATATTGTACGAGTAATGCAAACCAGCACCGGCGTACTTCGATCGCTGCATGCCCAAGTCGGCGGAGTCGAAATGGTCGAAGACGCCGTGGAAGAGCTACGAGAAGAGATGGCTCGAGTCGACGAAATTGGAAATATCATTAATGAGGTTGAACCTGCTATCGACGAAGGGGAGCTGGACGATGAGCTTGTGGAGATGGAAGCCAAGGAGCAGGAAGCACGTGAGGCCAAAGAAGCAGAGGCTACACAATGGAAATTGGCGGAACTAGAGCAACTAGGGAAACCAGCGACTAAGGTTGAAGCTGAAGCGCAGCGCAAAGCTGAGCAGGAGTATACGGCTGCTTCACAGCCAGTCGATTACGACTCTGACCTCGAAGATAGCATTGGAAAGCTTTCGCAGATGTCCATTGAAGATACTTCAAAGACTCTTGATACAACGGCGAAGGAGCCTAGACAGGTTCCGGCGAAATAGATAGTCCTGGGATAATGGCGAAAACCTTGGAATCACGGCTACAGCTTCTATCTAGGGAGAAATTCGTTATTCATGAAACACCAGAGCGCTAGGATACAACCATATCATTAAAAATGGAGAGAAAGCCGAGTCATGCCACGGCGTCTTCTACAATTGGCGGTCTATCGGGCTCCATGCCAGTACTATTACCTTCTCCATTAATCTCATTTACCCCACCAGCTAACGAATGATGCTTCGGTTCATGCTCGACTTTCTGACTGTGTCGTTGGCTGCCAGGTGGAGTCTGTCCAGCAACAGTCGAGTCGGATGTATGATCTTCATTGCTATCCGCACTTTCGTTATCTGGCAATGGCGGTTTGGATAGGGTAACGTGAGCAATTTGCGCCTTTTTCATGCGCGCGTTGGCGATGAGTGTTTTGTAGTCATCAGCATGCGTCGTGGACCACGCGGAGACATCGAAATCCTTCCGCATGACTGAATGAGAAGTTGCGAGGCTAGAAACAATCGGTGCCTGACCGCCTTGCGTCCGCTCCCATATATCGAGCTCCCTGAGCAATTCTCGTTTTGGTTTCGGGACCCTGGAATCACAGTTTGCATTCCATATGTTCATCCATTCTGTGTGCCTCTTCTGCAAGAGAGGTTTGGGGCCCCATTCGGGGATTCCTAGCTCCTTGAGCTTCCGCCGCAGGACCGTCTCTTTTAGGAGTGAGTAGTTTATTGTTGGGAGACGTTTTAGATTATGTGCCGGAACTGATTGTTGAGGCGGAAGGGCGGGGGTTCGTAAGGGTCTTGAAAAAATGTTAGTGAGGGTTATGTTCTGATATATAGCACTATAGAATTCTCGTAGACTTACCCAAATGATAACGAGGTTTTTGGTGATGCCGAAGACCCAGTGCAGGTATCCAAATGTGTGAAAACAGCCTCATTTTTCATTCTTCTGCTGCAGATAGGGCATGCGACAAGGCCGTCATCTTGGTATGATTAGCTTGCAGAACATATCTACCACGAATTGCAACTGCAGGGATCCTACCTGGTTCAAAGTCTTCATCCTCCGTATCTTCAATAACCTCCACTTGCACCTGTTGAGCCCGATCCTCAGTCCTTTTGCTCTGCGAGCGTGTCCTCCTCCCATCAGCGCCCATTGCTGCCTTGCCCTTCTCCAGCCCCAAAGACGTCGCAGTCTCTATCTTCCTCCTCTTCGCCATAGGCATTTCCACGCCCTGGTCCCGCCTCACAGTAGCGCTCCTCGCAAACTCCAAAACACTAGGTCTGGCCAGCTTAAATGAGTCCACCATCTCCTGCATAGCCCAGTTCCGTCGCAGCTTGAGTTCCTGGTCCCCACTTCTGCACGCAGGACATTTGCCCTCTGTACTTAGGCAGCGGCGTATACATAGCGAGCAAAAGGTATGAGAACAAGAGGTGATGACGGGGTTATCGAAGAAGTCTTTGCATACTTGACATCGTAGAGCAGATTCTACACGGGCAAGCTTGGGGATGGGTGTGCTGAGCCAATCTGTGGAGTCGGGGAGGTCGCAGGCATGATCCATTTAAGGGGGCTCTTTTAATGGCGCAGTTGGATAACAGAGCTGGAACAAAAGAAGGTGATCTCCAACGTATACTTAGGGAGTAAAATTGCTAGCTCCTCCCACCATATAAACGGTGTATAAAGTATAACCGCTGTTTTGGTATATTCAACACTCGAAATCAAACCGTAGTCGCGATATTAGAGTCTGAGAGGCAGAGAGGTGCCAAGACTCGATGACTAAGTCGCGTTAAGTGGTTCCATTCTCACGCATTTCGATATCGGGTCAAGTTTTCAAGTAGCAAACAAGATCAAACGAAATGAAATTAAATCAATAATACCATGAAGAATACAGCTCACGATGGCTGCCAGTTATAAGAAATACCTAGCCGAAAAGGTCATCAACGAACAAGAGATTGTAAGCTCCCAGCAACCGCAAATTGCAACTTCAAAACTCGAACTAACGCATTGAAAATGGCCAGGTCACGTATCGCTCTTTAAGCAGGGCTCTCAAGGTCCACTCCAACTTGGCCAAACGGTTCGCTCTTTTCCAATCGCATACCGCCAATGGAGAAGTGGACTCATTTGTACTGATCAGCCATGTAAAGAATGCTCTACGAATTCCACCGTGTGGAGAACTCTAAGAAGCCGCAGAGTGTCCACGCAACTTATCTCATCACAGGCACTCAGCTCCCTACCCAACGGCATCATGTCTTGAACGGAGATGCCAGAAAGGATGGCGATGATGACATTATGCAATGCAGTCCATTTATGAGCAGCCAAACAGGGCTTCAAGAAGATGACACCGAGGATTCTCCCCCAGTGACTTCCATCACATTAGTCCGCGAGGAGGATTTATCCGGTATGTGTTCATTTGGCTGTATTTGACGTCAATAACTGTCATATATTTATAGATAGAAGGCTGATAAAATCCTATGGCAGAAGCCAAGAGCCAATTCCAAAAAATATTTTCAATATTCGTGCATAGCGTCCAACCCACGCGGGTGCAGGACTTGAACATTATGAGTGACATCGGACATGATATTTTAGAGTCCCAAATAGAGGACCCCCTCGAATACGGAAAAATATACGGCATGATCCTGAACAAAAACGTTATGGTAGGGCTTCCAACTCTGAGCTCTGTGTTTTTTCTGTATTGTTTTTTTCTACCACCGCCTCAGCACCCACCTGCTGACCGTTCTACAAAAATCAGCGACGATCAGGAGTTCCGCCGCCAGCCCCTCCACCAGCCGCACCCGCTGAAGCCATCAAAATACCAAAGCCAGTGAAAGCAGAAGAACCATCCAGGCCCACGAAACAAGAGGACCCTCCGCTGCCACAGGTGCAGGCTAAGAACGCAACGTCGCAACCCTCATCCAGGGTACCCTCACGGCAAGGGGCAGGAACAGCCGCGGAGAGCGAATCCAGCTCGCTGAAGCGGGGTGGTAGCGGGAACATATTCCAAGCGTTTGCCAGGTCCAAAGCTAAAGTTAAGAAGGAGACTCCTGAGGTGGAATCGGTGTGTATCAAATAATGCCGTAACATTCTCGTATGAATATGCTAAATGGGGCTGATTCTCTGCATAGGCTGGACCCAGTGGACCTGATGATGGCATGTCTACGTTTCTCATTATAATTTTCTCCCTTGCCGTATTTTAGTAATTTATTGGAATAACTTTACTCTGTTTCATCTTGCTAACATGCACCAGTTATCCTGGATGATTCGTCTGAGGAAGAGCGGGAAGACCTATTCCTCGACACGGGGACGAGAAGCAGTTCCTCCAAGCGGGAGTCGAGGAGGGAGAGAGAAGAGAAGCTGCGGAAAATGATGGATGGTATGTATATATATATATATATATATATATATATGTTTTCCAGGGAGCACTTGAACACACGTACTGAATATAAAGAAGATGAAGAAATGGCTGACGCACCCGAGCCACCACCCCCCCAAAACTGCGAAGCCGTCGAAACACTGCAATCTTCGCCCCAGTCTAAAGCCGAAGAGGAAGAGGAAGAGGAAGAGGGAAAGGAAAGGGAAAAGGAAAAGGAAGCATCCGTTCCCGCTACCAAGGGACGAAGACGAGGGCGGCGGCAAGTTATGAAGAAGACAACAGTGATGGATGAAGACGGATTCCTAGGTTCGTATAATCACCTTCTTCACCTTCCATTTGTCATCCCTGTCATCTCCCTTGCTTCCTTGCTGCAAAAATGCACCGTGAGAGATATTCCCGTTCCCAGCGCTTACAAAACCGTCCGCTACGCACGTGCAGTCACGGAAGAGCAGCCTGTCTGGGAGTCGTTTTCAGAGGACGAAGCTCCGTCCGTTGCGAGGCGGAAGCTGGTCGTTGCGGTCCACGCGAAGCCTGCTGGTGGCAGGGGAGGGGCGAAAACGGGGCAGGGGAGTATCATGTCTTTTTTTGGGAAGAAGTAATTTTTTAATTTTCTATTTTTATTTTTTCAATTTTTTATTTTTATTATTATTATTATTATTATTATTATTATTATTATTTTAAAAAAAATCTACATTTGTATGATTCATGGCTCAATTCCCATCTCGATTCCCCAACTCCAGCCCTCTTCCCTCTCTTTCTTCCCCCTTGCCCCCTCACGCCATACGGAGGTGTAGAACCTCAAAAGGAGCAGCTCGCAGACTCCCATCTCGAATCTGAATATGCCCAATGCAGCTCGTCCCAACAGCACAGAGCATTATAGAGCGGGATTTCCTCATATCCTTCTAGAGATATTGTACATTGAGAAGAGAGATTAGAATGTGAGGAAATGAGTGAGAGACAGACAGACACAGACACAGACAAGGAGCAGACGGGAGCAGCCACAGACATTCGGACATCGGACACCGGACATCGGACATCAGACGTTGCGTTGTTTGGGCAGGACAGGCCAGTTGTCGGGAGCATGGCCCCCTTCTGCCCGGGCGTCTGGGCTCTGCTAAATAAATACTCAAGCTGCGGTTGTATTTGTTGACCATCGCATCTGGCCCGGAAAGGAGTTGGCCCAGTAGTAGGACTAGTGGTGGTAGGAGTAGGAGTAGGAGGAGCAGGAGGAGTAGGAGGAGTAGGAGTGGTGGTGTTGGTTGCTGCTGCTGATGCTGCTGTGTTGTTGTTGTTGTTGTTGTTGTTGTTGTTGTTGTTGTTGTTGTTGTTGTTGTTGTTGTTGTTGTTGTTGTTGTTGTTGTTGTTGTTGTTGTTGTTGTTGTTGTTGTTGTTGTTGTTGTTGTTGTTGTTGTTGTTGTTGTTGTTGTTGTTGTTGTTGTTGTTGTTGTTGTTGTTGTTGTTGTTGTTGGTAATTATGTATGTATGTATGTATGTAATATCCACGGTTCTCCGCCAGTTCAACTTTACATTATGCAGGACCCAGTCAATGGTTGCTTGGATAAAAGCTCCCGGTTTTCGGTTCTCCGCCCCAAGGTGTCCATTACTGCTACCATCCACACTCCCTTGACCCCACCACGCGCTCCCCGTTCACCGCTCTCTTGGGGACTCCTCACTAAGTTTGTCCGACTGGCGCCCGCGTTTCCTCCTCTTCTTGCCCTGTGACCTCTGCGGATGCTGGATGTCCCATTCCAACCCATCCCCCAGCACTCCCCCGCGCAGACTCTTCGGTGGCCCTTCTGACTGTGCCTGTCGCATCCTCTCTCTCTTCTAGATATCTCATACTGCACGCGTACTGCAGACAGCTCTCCATACTACGGACTACGGACTACGACTACGGCTACGACTACGGCTACGACTACGGCTACGACTACGGCTACGACTACGGCTACAGCTACAGCTACAGCTACGACTACGACACGACACGACTACGATTATATATAGAGCACACGCAGCCATGAAGCTTCCTTCGCGTGCTGCAGTGCTGGCTTTGCTCGCCTGCCAGTGCTCCAACAATGCTCGGGCAGCCGAAGCCCATAGACAACACTACCTCCAAGATAGCCCGCAATCGCTCATGGACGCATGTCCCGACTACGCCGAATACTCTGCGGTGAAACAGTTGAGTCGTTCCACAATATATGATTGTTAACGCTACTCCCCCCTTTTGGTCCGTGGAAATATCATTCTCACTGATCCTTGGGAAAAAATGCACAGCGGCCCGTACTCCGACGGCCCCCTCAAACTCCCCTTCCAACGCCCCGTCGAAGCCTGTCGCACGTTTGTCTCCCCGGCCGTCGAACAGGTCATCGAAGAGGTTACGTCCCGCATGGTAGACAAGGACCTCGCCCAGATATTCCGCAACGCATTCCCCAACACCCTCGACACCACCGTCCGCTGGCACACAAAGGGCTCCGAATCTGTCCTGCCTCCACCTCCCAAGAAGCCCAAGAAGCCCAAAAAGAAACCTCCTGTCACTCTTCCAAATGACGAACCCTGGCAGGGCCCTCAGTCCTTCATAGTAACCGGCGACATAAACGCTGAATGGCTCCGCGACTCTGCAAACCAACTCACCCAATACCAGTCCCTCGCCAAGAAGGACCCAGCCCTCCAAACCCTCATCCACGGCGCCATAAACACCCAGACCGAATTCATCCTCCAAGCCCCTTACTGCAACGCCTTCCAACCCCCTCCCCCCTCCAAGCTGAACCCCATCCTAACCCCCCAGCACGATATTGTCCACCCAGCCTACGAACGCTCCGTTGTCTTCGAATGCAAGTACGAACTCGACTCCCTCGCCTCATTCCTCGCCCTCTCCAACAAATTCTACGCCTCAACCCAATCCACCGCCTTCGTCACCCCCCGCTGGTACAGAGCCGTCCACACCATCCTGCGCGTCATCGACGAACAGTCCCAACCAACCTTCGACTCTGAAAACGGCAGGTACGGACAAAACGAATACACATTCCTGCGCCAAACGACTCTGGGAACCGAAACGCTCAACCTGGGCGGGATCGGGAACCCCCTTAACAACGGAACCGGTCTCGTTCGCTCGGCTTTCCGCCCCAGCGACGACGCTACTATATTCGGCTTCTTCATCCCCGCCAACGCACAGATGGCCGTCGAACTCCGTCGGACCGCCGACACCATCAGAGCCGCCAAGGGACCCGAGGACCTCATCAAGACACTCCGCCAGAAAGCAGCTACCATCGAGCGCGGGATTCGTGAATACGGCATCGTCAGGCATCCCAGGTATGGACATGTGTATGCCTATGAGGTGGACGGGTATGGATCGCAGGTGTTGATGGATGATGCGAATCTGCCGTCGTTGCTCTCGTTACCGTTGCTTGGCTTTGGGAAGGTTGGGGATGATGTTTACAGAAATACAAGGAGGATGGTGTTAGAGAAGACTGGAAATCCGTATTATTTGGTCGGGGAGGCGTTTGAGGGGATTGGAGGCCCGCACGGTACGTTTTTTTCTTTTTCTATTTTTCTAGCACCCAATATCTTACTACCCACCATCTCTCCTATATATATATATATATAAAACCCGCTCTAATTACGGATGAAAACCAGTCGGCCTCCAATCCGCCTGGCCCATGTCCGTCCTCATCCGCGCACGCACATCGACGGACGACGAAGAGATCATCCGATCTCTCAACATGGTGCGGAATGCGAGTGTGCTGGGTCTTGTCCACGAGAGTGTTAATGTGAACAATGTCAGTGTGTACACGCGGAGTTGGTTTGCGTGGGCGAACAGTGTGTTTGCGCAGACTATTTTGGATCTTGCGGAGAGGAAGCCGGAGATTGTGTTTGGGAAAAGGGGGAGGAGGTATCGGATTGCGGAGGACGTGGCGATGGGGGTGGAGGAGTAGGAGTGCTTCGGTTTTTCTTTTCTTTTGGCACTTGGTGGTGAATTGGCTTATTATTATTGGGATTTGGGCGGATTAGTTGAATTGTTTTATATCCATATCCTCCATGTGTGCGTTTTGGGTTTGGGTGTATTTTTATTTCTGTTTCCAGATGAGGATGAGCGTGGAGTTCAGGTGGTTGGATGCGGTTTATTCTTCTCTATTCTTATTAAATGATTTACCTGGATTTTAAATTTCTTCTTTTGGCTCGGTTTTCTCAGTTTGGTTAATGTTAATGCTCTGCTGGTTCATTTCACTTTGTGACTTTTGTCTCTAGGTGAAGGAATATCCAAGTTGCCAATGCGGGCGGATGCACGGACCATCTAATTATCTCCGCAACATCCCAACACTCTCCAGAAACTTTTCCCTCGCAACAAAACACTACAAAACACATAAACTACTTAAGAAACCCCAGCAAAAATTCATACAATCCTTCTACGAATTGGCTTCTGTGGGCTTTATACTCTACATACTCAAATCAAGCGGAGCCAAGGAGCGGGAGGCTGCAATCAATATAGATACACACGATTGGCAAATCATGGCGGCGCGGAAACTGAACGAATATCTCGATATCGAGTCGAGTGATGGCGAGGGGAGTGAGGGGGGTTACGATTCTGAGGCGGTGCAGGAGGCTAAGGGGAAAGGGCGGAATGCAACATTGGGGACGGTGATGGGACGAGAGAGGAAGAGGAGGAGGGTATTTGAGGATGCGGATAGTGACGAGGGGGAGGATGGGGGGGATGAAGTCCAGGTCGGGAATGGAGATGGGGATGGGGATGGGGATGGGGATGGGGATAACGAGGCAACTATGGGCGATGCGGAGACATTTGTGAAACGCAGCGATGTAGTGGAGGGGGTGGCGGACGAGGACGAAGAGCAAACACGCCGCAAAGACATCTCAACAACAACAACAGCAACAGCAACAGCAACAGCAACAACCAAACCCAAATCCCTAAAACCCCGCAAAGACAAAACAGGCGTCATCTACTTCTCCTCGCTCCCACCCTACCTCAAACCCTCCGCTTTGAAATCCCTCCTAACCCAACGAGGCTTCAGCCCCATCACCAAAATCTTCCTATCCCCGCTCACGCCCCGCTCCTCCTCTCACACCTCCACCTCCAAACGCTCCACCACCAACCGCCGCCGCACCTACACAGACGGCTGGGTCGAATTCGCCTCCAAGCGCACCGCCAAGATCTGCGCGCAGACCCTCAACGCCACCATCGTCGGCGGCAAGAAGGGCGGCTGGTACCACGACGACGTGTGGACTATGAAGTACCTACGCGGCTTCAAGTGGGGGGATCTGATGGAGCAGGTCCAGCGGGAGAGGTCCGAGAGGGAGGCTAGGAGGAGGATTGAGGATGCGAGGGCTCGGAGGGAGGAGAGGGTGTTTGTGGACGGGGTGGAGAGGGGGAGGGTCATTGAGGGGATTAGGAGGAAGAGGGTTGAGAAGGGGAGGGAGAAGGGAAAACAGGGGGGGGTGGCGGGGAGGGAGGGGGAGGGTGATGGTGATGGTGATGGTAGTGGTAGTGGTAGTGGAATGGCTGGCATTGATGTTAGGAGAGTGTTTAGGCAGAATGCGGTTCGGGCTGGTGGGAAGGATGGGGAGAAGGCGTTGGATGCGGATGTGAAGAGGGTGTTGGGGAAGATATTTTAGGGGGGGTTAATTTATTTATTAACTTACTTATTTTTTGAGTGGTTGTCTGCATCGAATTTAGGACAGGTCTTTTTTTTTTTTTAGAAGGATATTGAAATCCTATATTTATTTGCCATTCTATATACTACCCAAATGCTGTTTGAACTTTTTTGTCATGATAATCCCCAAACCCCCACAACCCTAATTATCCCTAATTATTCCATCCCGAATGGAAAGGAAGGCACAGGTTTTCACTTTGAACATATCAACAATTAACCCCTCTAACGCCAGTGGCCAGTTATCGTAAATGCAAATATCGGGTCGTCTCTATAAAGAAGAAAGTAAACAACTTGAACCCCCTTCAATCCTCAACATTCAAATCTTCGAAATCATCCAGCAGCTCATCCATACTAATCTTGGGAACGCCATCCTCATCATCATCATCCTCTTCCTCAACAACGCTCATAGCATCCCTCTCAATACCCTCCATGCGATCAGCCTCCGCCTGAGCCCTCTTCGCCTTGTAGAGTGACAGTGTACTTCTCAACTCCGTATCCTCTTCCACATCCCGCAGGAACATTTCGAAGTCTTCCTCCAAAAGATCCTTCTCTTGTTTCCGCGCTGAAGCCGTAGCCGCCTCTTCCTCGCGGTTCAGGCGCTTAAGACGCCAGTTTCTCTTGGCCTTCTTCTTCCTGGGATAGTGTTTCTTGACGAGCACCACGTCCGGTATGGTGGAGTTATATGTGCCACTCCGCTCCAAGGCCTCGAAGTTCGAATCGTTGAAGTTCGACCCGGTCAACAGATATCCCAGCACAGAATCGCCTACACGGAGGACTCCACCAAGATGCGTTCTCGTGAAGTAAGTCGTGTCATTGGATCCGAGGTCGGATGCGCGGGCAACCGTCGCTTCAGCGAGGTGAAAGTGTCCAACTGATTTCCCAGCAGGTTCTATGTCCATGACAATGAATTCAACAAGTTCTCGGACGTCCGCCAGGTTCTTAAACGGGGTTCTCCAATATACTGGCGACGGAATATCGGCGGTTCGCAAGGTAGCTGGGTCCAGCAAACCAATCGATGTGCCCACGCGATAACACAGGGTAAGGGGGTGGATGTTACTTAACGATTTCGCCAGGGATAAGGGAAGTGCAACCAAATCGTCTTTGCAGATAGGTATCAGGTAAACGGAGAATGTGATTTTGAATGACTTTGTAGACGTGTGCACATCCACAGATATAAGCTCTTGCGACTTCTTGACACGAACTGGCGCTACCGAAGAGAGGAAGTCTACCAGCTTCTCGGCGTGGTTTCGTTGGGAGAAAAAGAAATCCAAACCGTCCTTGGCTTCTTTGATGTTTATCGTATCCTTGTGGGCGGAGTGTTTCAAAATCAGCTGCTCGAGGTACAGGAACGTTCGTTTGTGAGGCACTTTCTGCCGAACTTGAACCGATGCCCTCCACGTGTTGGGTGTGTATGACTTGGCGCACTCGGAGCACTGCTGAGATGCCACCACATACTCCACTTCGAACGTTTGCTGCATAATAGTGCCCTGGAATGCCTCCTGTTGAACCGTAATTTTAACCTTGATACGTTTCGAATGCGGTTCTGTCCATATGAACCCAGCATCGATAATTCGCACCTTGCCTAATCCCCGCAATTTCCGTAGACATAGTGCAAGCAATTCTCTGGACTCGATGGCGGCACTTATCCACTGGTTTGGAGGCTGTAGCCAACGCTCGCAGTCCTTGCAGCAGTGCAGTGTGGCTTCTCGCTGTATTCCTTGTGATATATCAACTGTCAACTTCACGCAATCTTCGCATAGGGCGCCAGCGGCATTTGTTCCATCGATGGGGGCTCCGCAGTTACAGCAAAGGATCCTGAATAACAGATCGTTAGATTATTGCTGCTATTTTCTCTGCTTTAGTATATGGGGGAAAGTTGTCAGGGCACTTACGTTGCTGTCTGTTGCTGTGGATGGAAAGCAACCTGCTGCATCGACACATGAGAACCCAAGTCCATTGACATGATGGCGGTAATAAGGAAACAAATTCAAGATAAGTGTAGTTTGGAGTTTGTTGTAAGTATAAAAGAAAGTCATCGCAAAATAATATCAAGGTATTTTACCACTGATGCACTGGCTTAGTCAACAAAGCGGATTTATATTCTACCGACACTCTGGGTAAATCATTTTCACCCTTTTTTTTTTCGTATTGCAAACTAATAACGATCTGAAATGACATCTCCAATTCGTGGTAACAGAGCCTTTCGCAATGAGCAGGATTCTTCTAAGAGGTATTCAATGCCATGCCTGTCGTCAGAATGTCATTCGATCCTTTGTTTCTGCTTCTGGCGTGACAATTACTCCTCCAGCGATTGGTTCAGTTTCGACATTTAATCCACATCTATCTGGAAGCTTTCCAACCCGGCGTGTAGAGCTTTTCTCAAGCAAGGCCAAAGATGATTCCTCCCTGGCTGCTGATTCAGTATCCGAAAACTCCGCTGCCCAAGAGGACTCATATCCACAAGAAAATTCCCAGCAACATGTCCCTTGGTACCTGCAGGAAGAGCTGCAAGAGATGGCACCACACCCGATGAGACAGCAGCAAGAGTTACCTCCGCTTCCAGAAAATCCACCTCCAATTCTAAAAGTTCTTCTTGAGTACATATCTGCTGATATTGGCCTCGATAATCTCAACCTTCTCGACCTTCGCGCACTCGATCCCCCCCCTGCTCTGGGAGCAAATCTGATTATGATTTTTGGGACCGCTCGAGGCGTCAAACATCTCAATGTGTCAGCGGATAGATTTTGTCGATGGCTACGGACTACCTATAAGTTACGACCTGATGCTGATGGCCTTCTGGGGAGGAACGAGCTAAAAATCAAACTCCGAAGAAAAGCTCGGCGAGCAAAGCTAGCCAAGCGCGCCGGATCAACCCTTACACAACCGGACGATGGCATTACAACCGGTTGGATATGTGTCGATGTAGGAATTGTTGAAGGTGGTCAACTTAGCAAGCCAGAGGGGGTGCAAAAGGCTGGGTTTGTTGGTTTCGGAACGGTTGTTCAGGGTACTCGAATTGTTGTCCAAATGATGACGGAGGAGAAGAGGGAAGAAATTGACTTGGAGAGTCTTTGGCGTCAGACTCTTGAAGAAAATTCCATGGAGAATCAAGACCTCCCTAAACCTCAGGCGGAAGAACCTCCACAAGTGGTGGGTTTTACTCATGAACCTTCAACTATTACAACGGCTGACTTCAGCCATCGAATTAGCCAAACACCCCCAATTCGAGCCAACTATGAACAACTGAGGAGTATATCTACAAGTTTGCATCGGCTACGAGATAATAGAGGACCTGCCACGGATTTTGTTCCCACAGGCACAGCGGCAGCAACTAAATCTGCTGAATCAAACTCGAGCCAGGTATCGTTACCATCCCTTTTCAACTATTTATCAAACCTCGAACCCGATAAAGCTATCGATGAACTGGGGCAAGGGGTGGACGATAGAACTTCTACAGGTTTTTTACAAAAATTTTACGAAGAACTCGCAAGAGCTGCTCCCCAAATAGCCTCCACCCAAAGACTAGAACTTATGTGTACTGCAATCCTTCTTCAACATTCTGGCTATCGCAAAGACAACCTCTTTCAAGCATTCAAGGAGCATATCGTTTCAAATTACCCTTTACCGCGGGCTCTAGTCTTGCGGCTTCTTGATGCGTTGCTCGCATTCAAAGCCGATCCAAACTCGAATCCCCCAAGACTACGTCTTCCCAGTGCAGATATGGAATTGGCATTGCAACTTATAGAGAATGCAGCTCTCAGGGGCGCCAATATCTTCCATGCAGACTTCCTCATCAGAGTCTTCCTTGCCGTCTCATATAGAACGAGAGTGTATGCGGTGAAGCCGGAAAATCTCCACAGTGCGGCAATTACCGGAAATCGCATTCCTGTTTCTATCGACGAATTCGAGTCTGTGCAGCGCATTCAGACGCGCCTAGCTAGCATTATTAGAGCTGCGAAAGTTGCACTTGGAGAGAAAGAATACTTAGACATACTTCGTGTGCACTCCAACCAGGGCGAGTATGCGAAATTCTGGAATGCATGGGGTGAAGTATCCCTTCAAGGCATTCATCGAGGGAAATCGTTTTATCTGTTTCTCTTCGATCTCCACGCAGAATTGGGGGATTGGCAACAGTCCAGGACCACACTTTTGAACTGTATTCCAATGATGTGGAGGGAGGATCCGCCAATTTTCTTTGATGCTGAGCTAGCAGAGGCTGTGTCAAAATGTATTGCCCTCGCATATCCAGATATAGACGACAGAGTCCAGCAAAACTTGCCGGCTCTGATCGTCAAGACGTGGCATCGCTGTCGAATTGCAATACAAAATCAAAAAATGAGCGAGCGTAAGGAGCGTCTGATTCAGGCAGAGCTGGGCACGCTGCCAGAAAACTAGTTTATATGCCCCATTTTTTTTCCTTCGCAAAACAATGATATAAGAATTTGCATGTAAGATCATATAGAACTTGACCTTAATTTTCAAGATGTTATCCACCCGTTGGAACGACTCGGGCACCGATTCTGCTGAGTCATCAACTATTTTTTAGTTAGTTATCTAAGATGCCTCGGCTATTTGTGGCCCTAGAATCTCAACTTCCCGTCCTTCTTGGGATATATCAACATCAACGACACAGCGCATTTACAGGCACAAGCTGTGTGGAGTCTTTCAGCCTGACAGTTGGGGATATCAATCTGCCAATATGGAGTATATGTCCTCCCTGCAGAATGAGTTTGATGATTTCAAACCGTCGTTGTTCGGTAAACCACCCTTACCTCTTCCGCATCCATCCAAAGATCTACCTCTACAAACCTCAAAAACACTAATTCCGCGCAACCTCCTGATTTTTGCGTGATCCATACTAACTTATTCCCAGAAATCCTCTCGGAGCAGCAACTGTCTGCCCTCCTCCCGCCCTCCCTCCGCTACATCCTCGCTGTAGCCACACACCGACACCCCCGCTACCTCCTCCGCGCCCTCAACTCCTACGATGAGCTCTATGCCCTCCTCTCTCTCCTTGTCGAACGCTACTACCTCCTCACATTTGGCGGTTCCTTCACAGAAAACTTCTACTCGCTGAAACGCGAGCGTGTCCTCGCGACCAAAAGTGGTGAAATCCCACGCGCCCAGCTCGGCGCTGCGGCCCCTGTGCGTGAAACACTCAAACTTCGCTCGTCAGACATATGGAAGAACCTGGCCGTGATGGTTGGGATTCCGTATCTGAAGCGCAAGCTGGATGAAGGGTATGACATCCACGCTGCTCCGCATGCTGCGCTGGCCGCCAGCGGAGGAGGACCACGGTATCAACCTGGCGACGATCTCCCGCTAAATCCTAACGTGCGCCAAAGGCTGATGCACTATTACAAATGGTTCCTGAGGAACGTCTACCCATCGCTGAACGCGGCGTATTACTTTGCCATCCTGGCCTTTAATCTGGCCTATCTATTCGGTAACACGAAATATGCCTCTCCATTCCTGTGGCTGATAGGCACGCGGATACGGCGGTTGGGACCCGCAGATCACGCTGCGATAGAGCTAGCTATGCAGCCTCAAAAGGCGAAGTCGAATACTCTCGCCACCCGCCCGGGGGGTGCGATAAGTTTCTTAAGTCCGCAAAACATATACCCTCATCTCCTCGGACCGTTAAAATTCTTTCTCCCAACCTCCATTTTCGCCCTAAAGTTTCTGGAATGGTGGCACGCGAGCGATTTCTCACGACAACTCGCTCGCAAGGCGACAGAGGCAATCGACCTGCCCGCCCCGGCCGTTTCGGGCATGATATTACCCAAAGCAGCGACAGCGTCTGCACTTGCAGGCAAAGGACAAAAGGCAGTTACGAGTTCCTCTGAAAAACCTGCGCAGTCACAAACACATACCCGGAAACTCCCTAGCCCTCCCATATCTTCCACATCATACCTCCCCATTTTCACTGTGCCATTACCCCCCGTCGACCCCGCTGCTACATCAGATCCTACCGCTGTTGCCACACAATCACCTTGTCCCATATGTCTTCATCCGCTCAACAACCCAACTGCCTGCCAGACCGGGTATGTCTTTTGCTACAGCTGTATATTCCGTTGGGTTAAAGGGGAGCATGAGAGGCAGCTTGACTTTATGAATGGGGAGGGGGCAGAGTGGGGGGATGATGAGGATGAAGAGAAGAGTAAAGAGGGAGGAGAGCAGACCGGTTCTAGTCGCGTTGGAGGTACGGAGAAGGGAATAGCTGCCGCAGGCAATAGGAGTCGGGTTGGGAGATGGGAAAGTGGGAAAGGGAGGTGTGCGGTTACGGGACGAAAGGTGTTGGGGGGTTCGGAGGGGTTGAGGCGGGTGCTTGTGTAATTCTTAAATAAGTTTGTAGATTGTTGTACTCTTCTTAAGGGGTGGAAGAGATATGGCATGTTGGCTAGCATTTAGATTTCATTTGGATTGGGGACTTGGTTGTCGGATTACATGTAAACTATTTACACGATCATATATGTGGGCAGACAGCCTAAGATACCACCACAAACAATTACATCATTAACATTATATTTCCATTTTTGATCCTTGGCATGAATCACCATTTATACAAGATATTAACTACAGTGCAGAATATATATATGCATTGCAAGGTATCTAATCGTCAATGTACAAGAACAGTAGGATTAGCAAACCCGTCAGCCACCCTGTAAAGAAAATGAGGTGCAGGAAGAGCACAGAGAATGGGAAAAGAAAGACCGTTGCCGACGCGGACAGAGAAGCCAAACAAGATTACCACCGCAAAGCATGACGTATGTGCAGCTGCCCATATACAAACGTGCCAAATTTAAAGCATACAACAAGAAAAAGGGAAAATCTAGATATGTCCTGCTAGGCGAGAAACAAATACAAACATAGCCAAAAGAAAAAAGGAAAGAAAAAAGAAAGAAAGAAAGAAAAAGAAATCTAAAAGCCCCAGAAAATTCCCATCTCGCGCAATGCAAATAAAATATTCATCCGACTCATCATCTTTTTCTCCCTTCAAGAGTAAATCCATTGCCCTAACTTATATCCCCAACCACCACTTCGCCCTCTCATAAACAAAGAAACTCGTCGCCACCATAGGCACAACCTTCATATACCCAATCGTCAATCCAACCCAAAACCCCCTAAACCCCTTCTCAGCAAAGATCCTCCTTGCTGTCTCCGCAATACCCACTTTATGCCCATCACCCATCGCGCCTGCCACCTGCATCCGCCGCCGGATGACTTCCAACGGATACGAGCTGGTTTGCGAGACGAGGCCAGCGATGGCGCCGGAGAAGAGTTCGGCGGAGGCTTTTAGTTGGACGCGTTTGTAAGGTTGGGGTTGCGACGAAGAGGAGGAGGAGGTGGTTGTGGTTGTGGTTGTGGTGCGGCTTTCGGAGTGAGGGATTGTAGTGTAGGGTGCTAGTATGGGGTGACGGAGCAAGTCGCCCATGGTGTCGTGGGTAAGGAAGGACATGCCGGCATAGGGGAGCATTCCCAGGAGTGTGGGAGAGAAGCCGCGGTAGAAGTTTGAGAGACCCCAGGCGGGTCGTGGGAGGTGTGGGGAGTTGGTGAAGAAACTATGTGGCGTCGATGTAGGTGGGATTGGTGCAGAAGTAGCCCTAGTCGTAGCCGTAGCCACACCAGGTCTACCCTCGTTATAGATCTGCCTGCAAATCCTCCTAAGGGACGCGCGGACGCCATGCTTCGTCTCAAACGCCAAGTGCACCCGCATCACCTCAAGCGGATAGGTGAAGAACACGGACGTAATGCCCGCCAAGCTTCCGCTGATCAATCTGCGAAAGGGCGTCTCCTTGCCTCGCGACGGGATCACGACGGCGCGGATCTGCTCGTAGGCTAGGAACTTGATGGCAGCGTAGGGGAAGATGCGGAGCAGTGTTGCTGAGTGGCCCTTGAAGAGTCCGCGCATGCCTTCGTTTCTGTTGATGTCCTGCATGGCGCGTGCGACACCGAACCAGCTCGTGGAGTATCTCGCGAACTGCGGGTTTGAGGTTTGAAAGAGGATTTTGACGCGGTCTAGGGGGCCGACTACTGTTTTTGCCTGTGTTGATTGACATGGTTAGTTCGGAGATACCCATGCAGAACCAAGCCAGACTGCTTGTGATAGAAAAATCAGGGAAATCTATACCGCACACCCTGCCATCCCCCCGGCCAACCCGCTTTTAAGAATATAATCCATATTCCTCGTATCCAGAACCCTGACATCTGGGTTCGCACCCACAGCTTCAGCTCCAGCTTCATCTCCCCGCTCGATCCCCGCCTTCTTCATCAGATCAATAGCCTCATCGTCAACTGGACAAACTGGCGGGGGAGCTTGGGAAACATGGAGTTCATGCTCTCCTGCCGCATCCTTTCCCCTCAGCATTCCCAGGGGAGTAGCCATCAATAACCCAGGTATGGCGCCTGTCCCAGTCCTGCTGTCAATGCCGTACCGCGGGGTTAAGTTCTCCTGAATCAACGTTTCTGATCTTGTCGTTGAAGTCGCAGCTGTCGTTTCTGTGATGGAATACCGAGAGGATATGTATGTGAATTCGTGTGCGATTGCGATTGCGATTGCAATTGCTGCACCTTGCACCTGCACCTGCAGCTATGGGTGTGACGTCGTCGAAGTTGGGCTGTGAATGTTGGTCTATCTTAATCCCGAACCTCGGGTAACTAAGCCACCTCCGTTCAACTAAAAAAAAATTCCAATCAGAGGAGAGATTCCCTCTCTACCAACACATCTCTTCTGATATCACTGCTCTGGTCGAAATGGAGGTAGAGAAGGTAAAACAACAAGTGGGATATAGCTATCGTCGCCAGCATTTCTCCTTCTGCTTCTTCTTCCACTTTCTTTTCGGACTGGCCCGTTGTTGCGACGCGGGTTACGCAGCTCAGGTTTAGCAATGGAATCGCCGATAGCAGGAATATTGCATCGTGGGGAAAGGTGCAACTTAATTCTGCAGAGAGTGGATCAGTCTCTCGTACATTATAGTCTTCGCGATGCTTCGGTCGCGCTGTGTACTCTTTCAGCGGTGGGGAAGAAAACATACACTGGGTATCGGCAGAAACAGGGAAAAATACCGAAAATCCTGCGGCTGGCGTCGGATTCGGATGGTTTGTTCGTTTGGGCTGTAGAGGGCACGTGAGTCGCGGAGATCTCGGTAACGCCGAGACATCGTTACCAAAATCTTGTTCAGCTGGAATGGTATTGGTATTGTTAGAAACAGGTAGGGATTCCCCGATAAATTACGGGCGGAGCATCACGTGATAGAGGTGACGTCAGGCAAGAACTGTGCAAGGAACGACGACTAGCTGATATCCAATATCAACATCAAACTTGGTGGGTGGTGAATTTCCTAGACAAGTTAAATACAGCGGAAATATATATGTGTATGCGGGTAAATAGATGGGGAAAGGCCTAGATGAGAAAAAAATCTATCTAATCGCTCAAAACTGAAAATTCTTCTCCAAAAAAAGATGCAAAACAAGCCTCCATTCATCCCTTTTTCTCTTTTTTATTCCCAAGAATTCGATCCGTCCTAAAGGATAAATAACCGATAACAAATAAAAATAAATGGAAAGCCCCATGATGAAAAGAGTAAATCTAAAAAAAAAAAAAAATAATAAAAATAAAAATAAAAATAAAAATAAAAAACAACAAAAAACAAAAACCCGCTTCTGTCAAAACCTGCAATGCCAATAGCATGAGAAAAGGACCATAATCAGAAGTAAAGCTGAAATTAATCCGATGGGGAGGGGAATACGCCATAGAATGCATAAAAGCGCCATGATAACAGGAATCAGAGAAAACAAGATTATCGCAAAAAAAAAAAGAAAAGAAAAAAAAAGAAAAAAGAAAAAGAAAAAAAAGAAAAAGAAAAAGAAAGAAAAGAAAAGAAAAGAAAACACAAGAGTAACATAAAAAATAATGAAAGTGAGAAATAAAGAGGGAAAGGTGAGAAGGCAGAAAAGAAATAATGACAAGTACAGTAAGTACATGTACAATGCAGCGGTTCGCCAAATAAGGGGCCAAGGGATAGAGAGGGGTTTTGGTCAGGGCGAGACTCATGGAACAAAACCGTAACCCGTATCACAAACGTCGGCGGAATGCTGAAACGGACTGTACAGACTTTTCCAAAAAAAAATAAACGGGCAACCAAATCACCCAAGCGCAATGGCCCACCACCCCCCTCGACCCGAATCAGCCGCGTTTCATCCAAATTCTCACCTAACACCTCCCTGCCCCCTATCTCGTCGGCAGTTTCCCCTGCCGATTCGCACCCACACCCGCCCCCTTCCCCTCCCCTTTCCCATCATGATGCTCATCCGCCACCGCACCCCTCTTTGCCTTCTTTGTCGGCCGCGCAGGCTCAACGTGCAAATGCCCATTCTCGCTCAATGCAGTGCTATTCGTCCAGCGTAGACAGCGGCATTTGCGCGTTAGATCACCGTTGCCATGCCGTTCGGTATCGACGGCTGATTTGGTGCGGGTGGACATTCTTGTCGGCTGCTGCGGCCGCTGTTGTTGGGACTGCTCCTCGGCTATTGCTGATTGATATATCATTCTCCTCTTCCTCACAATATCCTTCTTCCGCTTCCCCACCGCCCAACTCTTTCCCAATATACCCCGCCTATTTCCTCATATACCTTGCAATAGTTCGCGATATACGTGATACTCCCATCGCTCTATTTTGAGATTTGTCACGCTCCTCGAAGTACAAGTAGTCATATAAGTGCTCATTCTGACTCAGACCGGTATGTCAAGCAAGAGTCGAATGATAGACGGCTACTGAGAGCCGTGTCCGTCATTTCTCAGCATGCTTGCATGTTACGAAAATAATGACAAAAAGATACGACGTACGCTGAAGAGAATGT